CACAAATCTAGATAAACACAGAGAGATTTAACGAGGCTCGGCAAAGATGCCTACGTCATCGGGAGCAGAGCGACAACTTCCTTCCAATCAGAAAAGAGTACATAATACAAAGTTCAGCTCTCAGAATCTCAGTGGCTCACCTATGATTACAAAGAGGACATATATATAACCATATAGTACAATTTGTAATTACTTAAATTACCCATGTACCAAACCTCAGAGTGTTGCCCCAACACCCCCAACCCACTTAATGAAACTCCCCCGATTAGACAGATCATTCTGCTCCACTCCGCTCGTGCGCTCCACTCCGCTCCAACATCTGTATGAATTATGGTATATGAGTCATACCTAACAAGTCTACACGTAGAGCTGCGTCTGAACTCCATATGTAAGATTTTTTTCCTAAGAAAGGCCCGCCATCAGAGGACAAGGAGGACCATTCATCCAACTGAATAAAATTGTTTAAACCAAAGCTAAAGCAAAATTCAATCTAAGGCGATTATCCGGGCCAAAATTCACAAGATAAGGGACGGTCAGATTGACCGAGCCCAAACCTAAGGAAAGACTCAACTCCTCAATTACATTAGTGACGCCTCATAGGCTTCTTATCAGGGGCCAAGAAGTTACCATGCATCTAAATCATCTCTTTGGTTTTCCCCATCGATGAGTGAACTACCTATCAGATTACGATGATTCTCCGTCTATTCAATATCCTAACCTTGCTCGGCCAACATGATCTCCTCAACAAGGATCAAATGAAATAGATGGTTAAACTTACAAGCTCTTAAGAATATATGTATTTTATCCTACAAGTTTTATTAAGTAGCCAATGAACCCAACTAATAAATCTACACGGCCAGACTAAATTAATTATTCTATTTTTTTTTCTCCCTCAAAATTAAAAATCAAACAAAAAGTTATATATTTTAAAAACTATTCATCTTACACTTATTATTTTTTTTTTTTTAAGTGGGTTTAAGTGGGTTTGATTTTGGGGCATGGGCATTTACATACAGACCACACATTTTTTACTATTCACACATTCAACATCAAAACTTCCGTATTTACATAAAAAGTGAAATACATCTTTTTATACATAAATTTATGCAACAAAATATTATGATTATATACATCAAACTTTAAGTGTTAGAAGTGTAAATACATAAAGTATATATGCAATTTTTTCTTGATTTTACTACCTTTCTGATTAATATTAACTTATGACCAATTTAACTTAGGACTCTTAGGCGTTGGAGCCCGATAGTTCCGCTCCCGTCTCCCGCTACAGGAGTTCGCCAACTCCCGCTCTTGCCTCTTCTATTTCGCGAAACGGAGCTCTCGATCTTGAAGAGTCGCGATTCCTCCCGCTTGATCGCGAAAGGTTGCGACTGTGACCTGCGGTTTCTCTAACCGTTCCTACCTCCAGTTTTGCAATAAAAGAGATGTTTCTCCTTCAGATTTAGTAGTAACGACAGGCACTTTTTGTGTTTCTTTTTCAAGTTTCCTCGGGACAGAGGAAGAGTTCTTCGGGCTTCCACTGGACAGTGGAAGAGAAGAAGTGCAAGGAAGAGTAGTTTGTTGCGGTGAATAAAGAAGAAGGAAGAAGAAAAAAATTGTTCTCTCTGGGTTTCTTCTTGATGGCTTGTGACAAAAGAGAAATTGAGTTTATTTCTCCTGTACGTGTTTCTTTTTCAGTGTATCTCGGTGTAAAGTTTTCTTCGGTGTATCTCGGTACAGAGTTTTCTTCGATGTATCTCGGTGTAGAGAGAGAAGTACAGAGAGAGAAGAAGAGAGAAAGCAATGAAGAGTGATAGATTCCTCTTGTAAGTCGAGGTCGATTGGTATAAATTTCTTCAAGTAGTAAAATCCTCTGCAACTCCATGGACGTAGGTAATTTGCCGAACCGCGTAAATCTGTGTGTTCCACTGTGGTGTTACTGTTTTTTGGTGTGAATTTTCTCGTTTTATTTTGTCACGTCGACGATCATTCTCTTATTTATTTTATTCTATATACCATAACTGATTGGTGTATAGATCTCACAACAAGGACTACGCCTCTTTTGATGTTCTAAATTTCAGTTTAGCGTACAGCATTAGTTATAACTTTAGGACCGAAGGTTAGTTGAACCGTCTGAGCCATTTATTTTGTCGGAGTTCTCAGTTTAATGATTAAAATTAGGGGTATTTACATGAATACCAGACAACACCTACACATTCATATTTACATTCATAACATTTAAATCATTAAGATAGCTTAAGAAATATCACTATCATCAACTTTTCAAAATAAAATATATATTTTTATGCATAATTTTATGACGCCAAAGTGTTATAAATGTAAATATAAAGCTTTAGATATTATGAATAGGTCAAGATCATGATTTAAAATTTAGTCATTTGTAAAGACTACTCGTTTGGGGCATCTTATTTGGTGCGGTGACGTTTTGAAAATGCAGCTGGCCTATTTGGGTAAACTGTGTTTTGACAGCTTATGCGTTTTCAAAACGTTGAAAACAACGCTTTCACACTGCACCTAAATAGGTGCGGTGACAGCTTTCTGGCAGCGGTATGACTTTTCCAACAAAATAAAAATTTATAATAGCCACCACAAATAGCTTATCAACAGATTATTTTTAATCAGCTTATCAACAGATTATTCAATAAGCTGCAGCTACCCCAAACATACCCAAATTAAAAATAAATTGTTGAAGTGTGATTCAAATTCAAATTTTCTAATTGGAGAGAAAGTTATCTACTAAGTTCTACATAGACTTTACTGAGCCTTAATTTTTATGCCTGTTCTTCCACCTAACACTCTATTATTATTTTATTTTTTTTCCTTATTTAAAAATAAATTCTTTTAAGTTTTTTTAGAATTAACATATTTGGCAATATTCAATCGAGAGAAATATATATATATATATATATATATATACATAAGTCTTTTGAAGTTATATATTTGCATATAAAAGTTAATGCTTATATAAATAGCACTTTAATTTATAATGAAATCAAAATATATTGATGAAAAGTTAAAATTCACTTTTAAAAAAAATTAATTAATGATATTTTTATATGATTTTAGAAATTTAAATGTAATGTAATTATAAGCTGCATTGTATGTTGGAATTCAACTCTTCATTCTCTAAAATTCAGATGTAAAAAGCTACATATGACAATTTATATATCACACAATTTTTATGTATTTACATATCTACCGTCTAATATTAAATATTTATATTTTTAATATTTTGGTGTCATTAATGATAATTCTAAGCATGAAAAAAAAATGTATTTTTTTTTAAAATAATTTCAATGCTATTTTTAATAGAATATTAAAGATTTCATTGTTATGAATGCATTTAGGTGTTAGTTGTGTAAATTTAGAAAAATTTTATGGCAGGCCTAAAATAATATATCATCATGCGACCAGTCAAAGTCTCATTAATTTATGCCTAATATAATATAATTTAAAAATACAGCATTTATTCCGATAAAATATTTTTTAATTATAGTCGTAAAATTAAGGGGCCGTTTCGGGCAGCTTATAAGTGCGGTTTCTTGAAAACACCGGCTAATCATTTGGTTTATGCATTTTTAAAAATGCTGTCTGCCGGCGTTTAGGTTTTTTACACTAAACGCAGACCGCAGTCGGCCTAATTTTTCTGTGCGGACTCCTGACGCAGCTCTAGGTGCGGCGGAGGTTATTCATGAGTTATTTTCAGGTTATTTCTGGATTATTTTCATTAATCCCGAAACAACCCAGAAATAACCCGCAAATATTTTTGGGTCGTTTTGGGAAAATAACTCAGAAATAACCTGAAAATAACTCATGAAAAACTTCTGCCGCACGTAGAGCTACGTCAGGAGTCCGGACAGAAAATGTGCTCTAGTGGTCGACCTACGGGTCATATTTCTTATCCTGAAACGCACAAATTGTCCCAAACAAAACTTTATATTTCAACTAATATACTTATAAAAATGTGTAACTTGTACTAAAGTTTGTCTACGGTTTTCCACGATTACACGGAGGAAAATCCAAGCCCACAAGCGAACGGCAGCAATAATCCTTTTTACTTTTTTTTATTATTTATTTATTTATTTATTTTTTGAAGTTTTTTTTAATAGGCGTCGTGGCGGCATCAACCGAGCCAGCTTCTCACGCGAGCCGTCTTCGTCACGCGTTTTCCATCACCATCCCGCCGCAATATTTATTTATTTAAGAATTATTTTGTATTTTCATTTAATTCGTTTATAAATAATCGATGATAAGTCTGTAAAATATTTATTCAATGAGAATTGAATTATTTTTAATTATTTTGATGTGTGCTGGAAGAGTAACAACGTTAGAGTAATAAATTATGTTCTTAGCTTTGTATGAAGATTTAACATATAATTAGAAGAAATAAAACAATCAGTAGAGATTTCAGAAAATTTTACGTGAAAAACCTGTAAAGAGAAAAAGGGTCTGGCCCAGTTGTAAAATATTCACTAGAATTTGATGATCATAAAGACTCCTTGTTTCACATGTGGGAATGTGTTATAGAGTCTTCTGAATTACAACGTCGATGTGCGGATGAACTTGTTGCAAGTAACGGGTGGCGACCGATAGCATCAAGGATGGGCGAAAAGTAGTGGTCACGAGGATCGACGGTGGGTGACAATGGTAAGAGTAATGCTGGACTTCAGGTTCTTCTCAAAATTTTAAGCTCTCTTTATCGAATTCTGGATGCAATTAATGCAATAATATGAACTATTTTGATCGGGCGGTTCAAAAAGATTCTCCTGATTGGACGAAATTTGATAGACTTTTGAGTATTGAATAAAATGTTTGGATATACATAAATTTAACTCAATTTGATAAAAAAAACAAAATTGAATTATAGATATTTTGCCGCATTCAAGTCGAGTTCTAAATGAACGGACCAATTGAAACGCGCCACTTGGCAAGCACTATATAGGTGGGAAAAACCACGGAACTATAATAGGCCCCGGCCTCCTGGCTTTTGGCCCTCTGCGTCTCCCTCGCTCTCTTGCTTTCTCTGCGGGGAACGGGGATGGTTGATGGTGGATTAGAAAGACTTTTCAAGCTCGCTGTTGAATCTCAGCTCTGATTCCGGAAATGGGATCTTGCGTTTCGAGGCCGCAGGGCTGCGTTGGAAGCCGACGTCGCTCGTCGGCGGATGGCCATTGCAGGCATCGTCGGCGGCGTGTTATTCGGAGAAGGGTTAAGTCTATGGTGACGATCCAGGAGGTGGAGGTTGAAGGAACTACGGGGGATCGACTTGATCTGCTTTGCTATACTAGTCCCACCATACAAGGTTAGGCGCCCTGTTCGTTCCTCTTTTCCTCGGGCTTTTTCATTACTCATGTGAAAGAATGGTTGACACTTGACCGATCTGGATGATTTTGGATTATTTTGCTATTTTGGTTGGTGCATTTGTATTCTTTCTTGATTGCTTGTTTCATATGGATTGGGTTTACTTTGGTGGGTTTTTCTGACTGAATTAATATGGTGGTGATGTTAGTAGTATGATCTTGTTCATGTTTGTTGTAGCATTCTTAATTGTCCGTGTTTACGATTTTGGGCTTTTCTGTTTCTTATTTTGGCTAAGAGATTGGTGATGGAGTTTAGTGGATTTCTTTCGTTTTAAATGCATGTTGGTGACTGTTATTATGACATACTTTGTAAGATGAAGTCCTGGTTTGCTTCTATGTGTTTCACTTGACAGTTTGGTTTCTATGGATTTTATTTTATTTTATTTTTTTTAGTTTTTCTACATGTGTTGGGTTTAGTTGGAAGAAGTGCTTATTTTAGGTTTCAGCTATTTTTAGGCATGTATGAATCCTTATTGTAATTACTATGACTCGAGCAGGAAGCATTGAGGAGACATGGTTTGACTCGATTACTGTCATAGAGTCGGACTGTGACGACGATTTTCAGAGCGTCCAGGAAGGTGTAGTAATAGGATGCTGGAAACTAGTTGTCTTATTGTAGATACGTTTTTGTTTCTTCTTACCTTGGGGATGGTTAATTTTGTATATTTGTTTGCAGATGATTTCTCTTTAAGTGGATTGGAAGAAGCAGTTTCAGGTTTCCCACCTTCCAAAGATGCTCATCATGGAGATGGAAATTTTAATTTCGTGGTGCCTGTCCTTGGCTATAACCAGAAAAGCCCCATTTCTGGGGAGTCTTTCGTAGGAAATTCAGATCATGGAAGCAAAATTCAGCCTGGTGTTGCTGTGAACAGTTTAAAAATTTTTGTGAGCCACAGTGATGTATCTAACCTTTCAGTGGATGAAGTTTCTCATGGGCATGGGGGAGAAGGAATTTTGGATAACTGTGGCATGCTACATAATAATTGCTTGCCTTTCCTTGTTACCTCTGTTCCAACTACTGAAAAGAAAAAGTCTCTCACCTCTAGCCCACCAAATTCAGCCAGAAAGGCGTCACTGAAGCTCTCCTTCAGACGTAAGCCTGGAGAGGGGCATCCTCTTGCATCTGCATGTGAGCGCTTCCTCATCTCTTCCCCACAGAACATACTAATTATGTATCCATTCCCTGAGCACCATAGAGCATAAGCCAAAAACTCTTACAGGTTTATTTTCAAGAAAAAAAAAAAAAAACTCTTACATGTTTGCTTGTTGCATAATTCTTTGCAATAAAATTTTGCTCACCGCAGCACTTTCATTTAATCATATACTATTTCAAATCATATTAATAAAACAAGGCAATGACAATTTCTTAGCCTTAACTACGTGAATACTCTGATGGTACAATCGGGTCCTATCAGTTCTCTACTTGAACCTTATAACATTTTTCAGTTTCAATTGTTTATTCTTGCCTATTTTTTCAGGAGGAGAAATTTTAGCAATAATTCATTTGTACTGTTCTGATTTTTGTTTCTAATAGCATTTTAAAAGTATATGGAGTGTTTTGTTCTTAATCTTTTAGCTCCTTGTTTTGCTCATTTTGTGCTTGTTTTGTTTCTTCACTTGAAAATGGAAATTGTTTGGTAACACTGCAATTTCCATGATTCATTAGGTCTCTGTTTCTAAAAGATGTGAAAATAACCTATGAAGCTGTTTTAAAAATTCAAGGAATTGTTACTTTTTAATTTAGACGCACAACAGAAAGATAAAACAACTATAAAATTTCATATACATAGATATATTTTCACTTCAACAACAATAACAAGTCTTTAACCCAGTAAGTGGGGTCGGCTATATAAATCATTTTTCTCCATTGTGTTCTATTGAGTGTCATATTTTCATTCAGTTCTCCATTGTGTTATATTGAGTGTCATATTTTCATTTAATTCTAATAGATTAAGATCATTTTTATGCAATATGCTCAAGTCATTTTAGGTCTACCTCAGCCTTTCTTAACATAATTAGAATCTAAAACATCTACTTTCCTAAGAGGATCATCAAATAGTCAACGTTTAATATGACCAAACTATCTAAGACAAGTCTCTCTAATCTTGTCCACCACTGGTGCTACGAATATATCATTTCGCATTGTCTCTCAGTGTCAAGCTACTCATCCACCTAAGTATTCATCTCAACCACACCTAACTTTGTTTGATACTTCTCTTTTAAAGGCCAATATTTTGTGCCATAAAGCATTGCAGGTTTCACACAATAGGCCCGATGCATTTCTCCACTTTAGTCAACCAACTTGAATTCTACTAATAACATCCTCATCTATATCACCATCACTTTGAACAATAGACCGGAGATAACTAAAACTTTCACACCTTTTAATGATTTGAGCACCCATAATTACGACGCTGCCACTAGAGCTACTACTACTAAAATTACAGTCCATATATTCAGTTTTAGATCTACTTAAATGAACGCCTTTACACTCCAATGTAGACCTCCACAATTCAAGTTTTTTTCCTGAACTCTTTATCTAATCTTATTCACAAGAAGGATATCTTTCCACTGAAAGGACAAGCAAAAAAAAAGCCAATGATAAATCCAACATGCTGAGGTGAACTGTTTTTTGTGGTTCCATTACTTGCAGGTCTGGCAACTGTACTATTGGGGCGTAATCCTTAGAATGATGAGTAAAAAATGAGCCGAGATTCTTTTTAGTTATTCTTAGATTTTTCCATTGGTGATTGAATCAATTAATGGAATAGTAAATAAAATGCAATCATAGAATAATCATATCAAATTTAAAGAAGAAATGCATTAGTAATAGTGCATATGTAAATAAACTTACACAGTTAAGTCTGAAACTACTTATCAAAAGTTAAAAGAAGGTGATATTATAGACGCTTCTTGTCCTTCATGTGTTCTGCACTGGACTTCCAAAGGGATTTAGACGCGGAGAAGCATCATCAAGCAATCATGTAGTATTCTACTATAAAGAGATGATGTACTTCAGTGGCATCTAATTGAAGATTTGAGAGTCTCTATTTATGCAAGACCACCAAACAATGTTGATAGGAAAATTACTATTCCGGTTGAAACAGGTGAGGGAGGCTGAAGTGCCTATGTGCATCACTAGGGGTTCCTTCAATAAGGGTGATGCAGGGCTGGTCCAACTGAACCGGCCAGGGCAGCAGGATAGGACCAGTCCAATAGGGGCGGGAAGTGTCACTCAAATGTTGCCACCCTCCTCTTCGTTTTTCTGCCTAGCTATCCTCTATTAATATGCATGTTTGCTGTGTCTAGGGTTAAGTTATGTTTGTTTCAGATTTCTTGGTATAGGCTTCTTACCCTTATTAGGGCTATATCCTAGGATAGATGGTGCTCCGGCTGTATCCTACTCTGAGGTGGTGACTAGCCATTTGATTTCTCCTCCAGTGCTTCTCCTACTTGCCTACAGCTGCCAGCCTGCTGCTTCTTTTGAGCTCCTAGGCACCAGCTGTGGTACCCTCCCTCTTATTCCCTTCCAGCAATCAGCCGCCTACCCTCCCCCTCCTCCTCTTCCCCTTATTCCTAGCCACCAGCCCTACCTCCTTCCCCCACGCCTCCTATTCTAGCCACCTTGCAGCCCCCTCTTCCCATGCCTCCTCAAAAGACACCCGAGAATCCACCTCCTTTCCCCCCCTGATTCTGACCGATAGCCCCAACTCCTGCTCCACCTGCCCACCACCATCTTTTGCCTAACCCTCCACCTGCCACCAAGCCACCACCTCTGCCCACGGATACCAACCTACCTGGCTCTAGCCGAATTTTGATGTTTGTTGTGCTCTTTTCATTTTGTTTTGAGCCTTGATTATTGCTTAATAATATTTGCTTTGTTATAGCGGGTTGGTTCGTTCCGGTATCAAAGGGTCAGGCAATGCTATAGAATATCTTATGCTGTGAGTTGAATTTTCCCAGTAAAATTGCATGCTTTGGCAGACTTCATGATGAACTTTTATCGAAAGGTGAGAAACTTCACCGTATCCATCACCTCAGAGTCGTCTTATGCTTAATCAGCAGCCTCAAAAACGTCGAGCATCTGCCTGGTTTTATAGATCCTTTAAAGGAACAGATCTCATCCCTTGTGTATGAAGCTGTCTTAAACAAGACAATCTGGAATATTATCAAAACTTTCTCTTCTTTTTGAGGGAAGCAGCATAAGTTAACTCTGTGAATTGACATTCTTGAGTATTGGTTGCAGAAGTGGCAATCTGTAAATTTGGCTTATTAAAATGAAAAATGGATGATCCAGTGGCAAGATTTTCATCAAATCTAATATCAAAAGAACATCAAATTGAGCAATTGGACATTTTTGGCAAATGAGGAAAATGTAATTGGACTTAGCTGCTTAAACTACAAGTTGTTGGTAAATGTGAAGGCATATGCATTAAATAAATTAAATTTGATTTATATATTTACTAACATTATTATCTTCCTGATGTTGATTATATGAGATAAATTTATGCACCTGTCACCAAAATCATCTGCCTCCTTTTTTCTTTTCTAGTTAGGCAATGCTCGAAGCATCATCAAAACTCTTAATTATGATTCCGACATGCCGTCCTTTGGGTGCTCAATGGGTTGACATAATTTACTCTGTTCACACGTCATTCTGTCTTCAAGCAATTATTTGCATTAAGAACCTATTCTTGAAGCATGGACCCGCCATTCAAATATTTACTCTTTATCAGATTACGTCTGCATATTTCAATTGTATTTGGTTGGCATTCTGTTTTGTTAATTTTTTTGCTTTCATTCATATTTCAGCTTTTACAAAGCCTTTCCTTGAGAGACCGCTGGCAGGCCAACAGGTTCAATTCTGCCTTCTGGAGAAGAAAATGCTTGATTGTTGGTCACATGTTGACCCTAATACATTTAGGGTTCGAGGAAAAAATTATTTAAGGTGCTTTGAAGTTTCACTGCTTTATTGCTTTTAAAGCAACTAAATTCATATTCCCGAACATGTTTTCATGGCAGGGATAAAAGGAAAGATTTTGCTCCAGACTTTGCCGCATATTACCCGTTTGGTGTTGATGTTTTCTTGTCTCAACAAAAAATAAAGCACATTGCCCGCTTTGTGGAGCTTCCCAATGTGAATTCATCTGGCAAGTTACCACCTATCCTCATAGTCAATGTCCAGGTAATTGCATTCTCTAGAAATTATCTAAATTCATATTTCTATTATTTCCTTTCAAGGGTTATTTTTCATGCAAAGTGGTCACATTTAATGTTAATTGACTACGCATGTTTTGAATATCAAGCAAACTTCTTTTTTTAAAAATTTTTGCCCTCATTATCATCACCAATCCCTAGGGATCCTGCTTCATTAATACTTCATGATTTATTCCCATTGAGTGTTATATGAGATTTAAACTTTACATTTTTTTACTATTAATATACTACTTGGTTTCATTCCATATTATTTTAATCTTACTTCTGTACTTCTTTTTCCCTCTGTTATATTTAAACTCTACATTTTCATCTTATCTTTAATTCGTTACCCCTTTGATCTCTTCAATTCTTACTAGTAATGGAGATTTGTAAGTTTTTAGTTGTTGGAAACACAAATTTAGCATTTCTTTATTATATTTATAGTTTTTAATATTTTGGTGTTTTGACATGCCTTTGATGAATGCCAATAAAAATGGGGTTTGTTGTTCTCTAATGATTTTCTAGTATTAGTTTGGTTTATATGATGCGGCTTGGATTTGAGCTTGTTCAGTTCATATAGAATTTTCTAAATGTTGTTGTCTGTCTTATTGACTTTTCCGGCTCGAGACTTGGAATTAATCAAGAGAACGAACGGTTTGACAGTGGAAATAAATTCTCTGTTATTATATTTTTATCACTAACAGTTTAATGTTCAAATATTCAATAAAGAACCACTAAATAACTAATTTAATTAACAAATAAAAGTTTTATCTTTTCGGTTGTTGTTTCTGTCTCTGATAAATATTAGTTTTTTTTTAGCATGCACATACAAACATTTATATATACTATTTAATTTTTCATAACATACATTTTTCAGACATTTTCATTTATCCATTAATTAATGAATGAACTTTATTAAAATCAAAATAAAATACATTAATCTAATAATTTTATGGATAAACTACTATGCATATTTTTGATGTGAGATTCTTTACATGCATGCTGCCAAATGTAATAATCTCATGTTTTTCTAGAAAAATTAATATACAACTATTTATGGTAACATGTTTAATTTCTCTAATGTATAACTATTTATCATGCATTTCTTTCCTATCTAATAATATTAAGAATTTATTATAATTTAAATCTAATTGAATTAGAGGATGAATGAAATCAAGCATATAATTTAAATAATAAATATATCCAAAATTTAAAATATTCCTCAGGTGACCTCTTTGTGCGCATATTCCTTCACTTAATCACCTTGCAAATTCTCTCTAATCACTTTTTTTCTCCTTTTTGAAAACTCCCCAATCCAAAATTACTATTCCTTTTGCATCAGATGTTTCTCAATCTCCTTCGCTGTCGTCTATCCCTCCAATCCAAAAAGCCTTCCTTATCTGATTTCTATAATCATTGGTTCAGCCAACTCTCGCACTAGAGCTTCCTCTCCTCCTTTGTTTGAACTCGCTCGTAGTGTCGCTAGGCTTCTGCTTCGCTTGAGATGCATCCCTCACGAAGCCGCTCCGAGTTCGACAACATGTGAGGCTTCTTCTTATTCCTACAAGATGCACTCGTTGCTCGTCTCTTCCTCCCTCAAGCGGCCGCCCTGCCCGTCCCGCACGCCACGTCGTCGACGCATCTTCTCCTTCATGCACGACGCCGATTTCTTCAATCTCTGTCGAACCCACAACAAGTGGTGACGTCGATTTCATATGCAAGCATCCGCACAGGAATCCCTCTCGGTAGGTTCTCCTGCACGCGATGGTTTATCGTCTCCTTCTTCCACTTCCTATGTTGCACAGAACACAGTCAAACGACACCGCATTTGAGCCGCCTGCTACCCTTTCCTTCCTTTTCTTCTTCTTCCTTTTGCTTCTTCTTCCTCGGCTTCGACTTGTTTCCCGCAAGAACTCACACAGGGTGGCGACGCTTCCTGCTCCCGCAAGAGGTAACAACTTCCTTTCCTTCACCTTCTGCGGCTTCGTCTCCCTCTCTCGCGCGGTTTTGTTGGTTTGAAATGGGAGTTATATGACTCCTTAAGTCATAAATGAAGAGATGCTTCTGTTCCATTATTAATATTTTTTTTCATTAGCAGCAGCAGCAGCAGCATCATCATCATCATCATTATTATTAAATTTAAGTTATTTCATTTTTATAGAAAATTTATGGGCAATCTACTGGCTCTTTTGGAAAATTTTAGGGCAATTTATTGTGTTGAAGAAGTTGTTTAAATATCTAGTGTTAGTCGTATTTACTCTATTGCTATTAGTGATGTTGGCGCTGTTGCTGTTCTCTATTACCACTACTACTATTGGATGACTGGCTTGACCTGTCAGTGTTCCTGTTTCCTGTTACTGCTATTATCGGCTGAGTATTGGCTTTACATGTATTCCTATACTTGGTTATTTGGTTCCCTTGGCACATCTTATTGCTATTTGAAGAATTATCTCACAAAAATATAACAGGCTTATGCGACCGTCTTACCATAACTGGCATTTCTTCTGCTTCATGTTGACACTGCATGGACTATTACGATAACCCATGGTTTATCCCGTGAGAATTGTTCTTCTCTTTTAGTACTTATCTGTGATGTGCAATACTTAAATATTAAAAATTAATCATAATTGAATTGGGTTAATGTTGTGCCAGCAATACAACTAAACTTGGTATTAAGAAATGGATATGAGAGATGTAAATTTATTCTATGCTTTATTCAACAAAAATTTAGATTTCTTTTTCAATCACCTGATAGATTTAGGGTTCCTTCAGTTCTGATTTAAGTATGATGGATAAGAGTTGGGTTTTCTCTACTTAGTAAACTTATTTTTCTTAATCAGTTTTCTTCTCAGAATTTTATTATTCATGAGTTTTGATTTTGGTAAAGTCTCTCACGACCATATTTGTAATTATGGTAAAATAATCCATTTGTTCACTGCTTCGTCGTGGACTGAGTTTCTTGTGTTCTATTTAGATTCATTTGATCATTGTGTTGAGATTTGTATTTTATTTTTGTGGGGTCTAATTGTAAATAGAAATTATAGAAGAAGTCTAGGGGTTATTAGTAAAAGGTTTTATATGGCTCTATAGAATTCCAACTCTTGAATGGAAAAGTATTAATTCCTTCAAAATTATTTCTTCACATTGTATTCATCCTTTGGCTTAAATTTCATGTATTTTGAGTTTACATTTAAAGAAAATATATATTTTTTTCCATTTAGTGTTTCTTTTTGGGTTGTGAATCCTAATTTCTTTTGGTATGATCTTTTTCTATTACATCATCATAATTGCATTAGAAATCATTGACCCTTAAGTGTTCTACATTTAGTATTAGATTATACGGTTGCATTGCTATTTCAAGTAAATGCTGGGCATACTATTTGGTTCAATGATGAATACCTGCAAGGGATACAATTTATATGAAATTTTGTAAGCTATAGTCCTAGATACCTACAATGTGATTATCACAATATTCAAAATTATGTTCTTACATTTGATGTACTCAAGATTTAGAAAAAAAAATATCAAAATGCCTTAATAATTTATAGGTTTTCTTTGGGAAAAAAATTCTTAGTTCTGAAAGATTTAATGAGTAATAACCAAAATTTGAGTTCATTAAGATAGGCAATTATTAGTATGAATTTATTTGCTTTTCTTTTCCTTTTTTTTCTCTTTGTTTTTTTTTTTATTTTTTTATTTTTTTGTTTTTTGTTTTCTTGTAGTATTAAAAATGGTACCTGAATCAGTAGCTTCTCAATTTAAGATTGGATTGTAGCATATCAAATTTAAGAAGAAAAAGAGTTGGAAACCCCCCTTTCGGCTTCTGAGGCTCATGTCATTAGGTTTTTCTTCTATCCTCCTTGGGCATCGTCGTTGTTTGACAACCTCTCTCGCATGACATAACAGTTCATAAACTTATCATTTTTGCATTATCATAAGCTTTATAAAATGTTTAATATTGTTATGCATGTGTATTAGTCTATCTATATTAACATGCATCAACATAAAACATGACATATTAAGTATTTTATCATGCTTCATATTCTGAAATACTTGTTAGATTTAGCTATCATGAAATTTCTTAATCTTACTTGTAACATACAACTGTATAAAAATAGTTATGATCATCTATTTAGTTTCTAAACTGCATAAAATATGATGGTGTTTGGTAGCATTATTTAAATGGGATTTAGGCATGAATTTAAGTTAAATTGAGTCACCACAACAACAACAACAACAAGCTTTTATCCCACTAAGTGGGGTCGGCTACATGAATCCTTTTCTCCATTGTGCCCTCTTGAGAGTCATATTTTCATTTAATTCTAATAGATTAAGATCGTGTTGTATACAATATATCCAAGTCTTTTTAGGTCACCTCTGTCTTTCTTAACATAAGTTGAATCTAAAATATCTACTCTCCTAACCGGATCATCAGATGGTCGGCGTTTAATGTGACCAAACTATCTAAGGCGGCTCTCAAATCTTGTCCGTCACTGGAGCTACACCAACACTATCACGGATATATTAATTTGGCATTTTGTCTCAAAGTGTCAAGCCACTCATCCTCCTAAGCATTCTCATCTCAACAACACTTAACTTTGTTTTATGATTCTCTTTTAAAGGCCAACATTTTGTGTCATAGGGCATTGCAGGTCTCACCATCTTATAAAATTTTCCTTTCAGTCTAACTGGTACTTTTCTATCACACGACAGGTGATGCATTGCTCCACTTCAATCAATTAGCTTGAATTCTTCTAATAACATCCCGATCTATATCATCATCAGCTTGAACAATAGATCTGAGATATCTAAAACATTCAAGCCTTTTAATCATTTGAACCCATAGTTACAAATCTACTACTAGAGCTACTACTATTAAAATTATATTTAATATATTTAATTTTAGTAGGACTCAAATGAATGCCTTTAGACTTCAATACAGATCTCCATAATTCAAGTTTTTCCTGAACTCTTTCTTGAGTCTTATCCACAAGAAGGATATCATCAATGAAACATCAAAAAGAAGCAAATTAAATCCAACATTCATTAACTCAAAATTTTGCGCTTTCCATCTCAGATTATCGTGTTCCGTTCTTAGATCTGGCTGCAGGTCAGATTTTAGAATTTACTCCATCGTCGGGGCGATCTCCATTTCCATTTGATAAATCCGAACTTTTAATGGATTTCATGAATCCTAATTAACGAAAAATGAAGGTGCCGCCAAACACCGCCTAAATAAATCAAATTTGAAATTCAATTACTTCAGAAAAGTAAACCATATTTGTGCTAATCTTGAAAAACCCAAATAATTATAATCAACCATACATGTAATCTATTATAAATATATCAGAAAAAAAACAAGATAATAGCACAAGAATTTAAATGCATTTAATCTTTATTATAATTAATAATTTTATGTAATCTTGTATTTCATTTTAGCTTGAGATCGTGTCATGTATGGTAATATATATTATTAGCCATCATAACTCAGCTCAAATGCTACATCATCAAGTTCAATAGGGCCTTGATGAAACCCAACATTTTCTATTGAACTATTTTGAAGATTCTTTTGCCTCTATAAAAGCCCATTGTGCCATATTGGGGACACTTTTATATAAACATATCACTGCAAAATGTCACCATAACATGATATTTCTCAAGTTTCATACATTTTCATTATTATTTATTCTAATAAACATGTGATTTCTGTTCAAATATATTAAATAACTGCATATTTGAATAAGTAACTTATAAGTACTATATGCTATCTGTTACCAGTATCACCAACAACAACATACTTATGAAGTCAGGTTGCACTTACTCTCGAGTTTGCATCAACCAAATTTTTATATGATTTATTTCTCATAAAGAGGAGGATATAACTATGCATTAAAAATATATGAAGTATTCATTGTGCATTTTTAACTAACACAAAAGTTTGACAAGGAATGACTTAAGATGAGGGAGGGTAGGGTAGGGGTAGAGGTGAGACTTCAAATAGAGATCTTTAACCCTAAAACCTACAAAATGGGAGACCATAAGAGATTTTAAATCTCAATTCATCATGTAATCCTTAATACAAGATTAAAGCCCTTACATAGACTCATGACTCGCAATACTTGTGTACAATATATTAAGAATAGTACAAATGGAAATAAAATATCCAAATTAAATTTAAAAAAGGTGTTTCAAGCTAAATGAACATATTTGATGCCTAATAATTATATGAATAATTAATTAAAAAAGAATTAAAGAAGAATGCAAAAGAGACCTATGACCAAAGGCTAAAGGAACTTGCACTGCATCAATTCCAATGGGCTGCAAAACTCAAGAGTTGAAAATTTTTAGATGGAGAACTAGAGACCTCTTGAGACCTTCAACTATGCTGTGGAGAGTAAGATTCATTCCAAAGAAGAGAGAGTAATGGAAAATCTATTCCTAGGAGGCAGAGACGAAGGAGCTAACATTATTAATTTAACAATCTCAATAGAAGTTTCTTTCCATCCAGTTTCAAGAACATGATTAGCTCTGTAACAATTTTGGAAAATTATGGAGATTTTTGTGTTCTCAACTAAACTGTCTTAAAACTGTTTTAATTGAAGCAAGTTCTTTTTTTTAATTGGTTTCAAAATTGGATTGATCAATTGAATAAGCTAAATTCTTTGGGTTTTGGGAGTGAAGCTAGCAAGAATTGCAAGATTTGTATTGAGCAATGCACATTAGTAGAATTCAAGAAAGTCTTGTTATGTGTGCAAGAGAGTAGGTAAGTGCAAGTGATATGTGCGGTCGAAGTGGGAGTACGTGACTGTGATGTAGAGAACATGGTAAGGTTGTGGTTGGGTGTGTGAATGATGCGCTTGGTGAGTTTTAAAAGCCAATGGAGATGCGGAAATGGATCTAGTTGAGGTTGTAAGTGAAGATGAGCGCAAAATGGCTGGTGTAGTTAAGTAGCAATGTGTTGGGAAGATGTGACAAACGAAGAAAGAAATAATGAGCAATGAAGTTGTTGAACGGAGTGGACAGAGGTGTTAGTTTGCCTGTGAAAAATGAATGAAACAAACTTGTAGGTTGTGGGAAGCACATGTGATGTTGGCTTGAGGTTGTGATGGAGTCTTGATCGATAGACTGGCAAATGTTGTAATTTTTTATGAGAACCAGAGAAGTGCGGTGGTTCATGGGCAAGCAATAAGTCAAACTTTTCTGTTGCATGCAAATGTGTTTCACATTTATGCAATGGATAATGATCGATAAGCTGACATATCAAACACAAAATAAGTAATGTAGTTTGTGTCTCTGTAATGTCAAGTATAGCTGAATGTGTAGCATTTGAGTTAATAAAGCATGAATACTGAATATTTTATCAAACTAATAGATGCTTGTTCATCTTGTTCATTCATTAAGCATTATGTACCTTTTTTTCTCTAATATTTATTTTTGCAGTTGTGAGATGCATAATTCATATTATTTTTCTAGCTACTGTTTGTTACTTGAATTGGCCGATTTCTTTTTCATTTTCAGATTCCACTGTATCCCGCTGCCATCTTTCAAAGTGAAACTGATGGCGAAGGAATAAGCTTTGTCCTATATTTTAAGCTCTCGGAGAAATACTTAGAGCTTCCAACCCACTTCCTGGACCATATTAGAGTAAGTTGTGATACATAACTCTCTAGTGCTCTTGCTACTGTTCTTCTATGGTGGTGTTTATAATGCTCATGTTTGTATATCAATTGTCATGCTAGTTAAAGTTGTCATAACTCTGAGAAACTATGGCTATTGTCAAGATTCATGGCTACAATATGTTTGCATGGGGGAATTTAAAGTTTACTTTTTTTCTTGAGTATTTTTTACACCATTTTGGTATTCCTAGAAGGTGTTTAAGGATCATATTTAGCAGCTAGAGATTATGGAATAGCAAGAGAAAGAATATGAGAAGTCGGGAGCTTGTAAGAAGTTTGGCAGCTGGTCCAGACTGAAAACAGCAGGGAGAACGATAAGGTGATGGCTTCGGTGCGGCATAGCTGAGCTGCTGAAGGAGATCAAAAACGTATTCTCAAACAAGCTACAAACACACAACTTGTTAATGGATGTAGATACAACACTTAGGGCAAAAAAATCGAAGAAAACATTCTCTAAGTGCATAAATCAAAAGCAAGTGTCCCAAAACCAGAAATTAACAACATATAAATAGTTCTTAAAAAAACCCAATTATAATTCAAATATTATAAAAAAAGGGAGCCCACAAGGCCTAGCAGCTAGGCAGGAAAGTCTCACTATAGACTCCATGTAAGTGGGGATTGTGGAACTGCTTCCGTATCAACTTTTAAAACATGATTGGGTTAGACAACTTATTGATCAATCTTCTGTTAAAGACTCATCAGTTAAATCAATAAATTTGATATACAGGGTGACATATTAAAGCTCAAAGTTAGCCTACAAAATGAAAGAGTAACATTCTCGAGTAAAATACTAATAACTTCAAATTTACGGTAGGGGGTTACTCAATTTCTTACAACTAATGTTCTCAGATTTATCCTCCGCCCAACCACTGAACTGTAGTTCATTAGTCCTGAATTTTGCTCTTCAGTCTCAAAATGGGGCTCGTCAGCACTGAAGTTCTGGATCATCCAGCTAGATTAGTTATAATATATGGATGGAGTAAGTCTGTCTTGTACATGTATTCTTGGACATGCATCCTCTATCTATATACAAAAGACTTTTTATGGATGCTTGTATGTTCTTTTAATTAAAAGTATTTATAAAGCATCCCTCTCCTATTTTGTCAACTATGGTATTATCAGTAAGGTGTTGCATACCATTGTCCAATACTTTGGTATTTCTTAATTTAACTGTTTTATGAAATTTGCTCCCTTCTACAATTGACACCAAGTCTATTGTAGCTGTTATCTGTATTTATCACGTATCTTCAACATGTATTCATCCATCTGTAAAAATGTAGAAATTAATTGACGATGAAACGGAAAAGGTCAAAGGCTTTGCTATGGATACAATTGTTCCATTTCGGGAAAGGTTGAAAATTCTTGGACGAGTAGCCAATGTTGAGGATCTTCCTCTAAATGCAGCAGAAAGAAAGCTCATGAATGCATATAATGAGAAGCCAGTCCTTTCTCGGCCTCAACATGACTTTTACTTGGTAAGTTTTTCTTTCTTTTTATAATTTTTTGTTTGTTAGCTCAAATATTATATGAGTATTAACAGCATAAGATTTTGTTTGTGAAATCAACTTAAAATACTGGCTCACTTTGCAAGTTGATTTGTGGTGCTAGTTTGGCAACAAATAAGCATTTCCATTAAGTTCTAGAAACTGAGGGATCATTTGGGATCACTTTTGATTTTTTGTTTTTTTTTTAATTTTATTTTGTATATATTTTTTCTTTAAATAAAACATATTTGATATATTGTAACATTTTTAGTTGTTTTTAAAAAACTCTAAATAACGTTTAGATATTATGAATGTTTTTTAAAGCAAGCTATATTTTTAAAAATAAAAAATAAAAGCACTAAAAAAATGCACTAAACAATAATGTTTTTAAAGCTGAAACAAAAATCAAAATAAAAGACAAAAGTGATCCCAAACAAGCCCCCAAGAACTCACCATATTTCTGGTCATTGGGATAACGCATTGCATTAGTACAGCAGAGCTTGATGTGCAAGCGATAGGAGTTCCAAGTTGGTCCTCTTAGTGAGATGTGATAGAAAATCAACCTTGTTGATGCATTTACTATTTGGGAAATTTACATACATGCCGCATAATTATTAATGTTTATCTAACACCCAAAGTTTGGTACTTGCACTTAAAACACCTTGGTGTCATAAATCTATGCATAAAAAGGTTCATTTTACTTTTAAAAAGATAGTGATGGTGGTATTTTTTGTTGTGATGTTAAGTATTTGAGTGTTATGCATGTAAACATGAATGTTTAGGTGCTAGATACGTAAATATTTAAGAATTGTGTGGTATGTATGTGAATGCCCCTTGCTATTTTAAAGATAGAATGAAATTTTATCAGCATTCACTCTCATCATACCGTAAACTCAGGGTATGATTTCATTGATGCACAAACTTGAGGATAACCATCAAGGTTTGTCATCTTCTTATATGGAACCGCTTCAATGCTTTTGTTTTATATATTAGAAGTTTTTAATAATAAAATTCCCAGAAGAGTAAACGTTAATCTAGAACATCATCCTATGAACCCAAGTATATCAAAACTAGTTTTTTGGAAAATTTTATTAACGGGTGAAATAAATTTAGTATTTTTAACTCAATAATTTTCTTATTATATTGCATATATTTAAAATTAACCGTCTTTTTTTTATGCACTTTTTTTATGGAAAAAGTAGATCTTGTTTTGAATTTTGCTTCCCTAAACTCCTCCCACCAACACAAACTCAACCCATTCCTGCTTCTAGATATTATTCTTTATTTTAAACCTAAATATCTGAAAAATAACAAAAAAAGATGATCGGGCTCCTGCCGGTGGAGACAGTGGAGGGTTGATTTGGCCATTTTCCTCTTCTCTAACCCATCTAATATTATTCGGAACTCTCACCCATCTTTGCCTATCTCACAGGGAGAGAATTACTTGGAAATCGACTTGGACATGCATCGGTTCAGCTACATCTCAAGAAAAGGATTCGAAACATTCATCGACAGATTGAAATTGTGCGTCTTGGATGTCGGCTTAACTATTCAGGTAAAATCTCCAGTAGTAGTAATTATTCCAATTTTGTGGGTTAAAAAACATAATCACCCATCTATTTTCTTTTATCTGAAACCAGGGAAACAAACCCGAAGAACTGCCAGAAAATTTACTGTGCTGTATACGTTTGAGTGGAATCGATTATACCAACTACCCTCAGCTTGCAGTCCATTAACCTCCTCTCAAGTCAGCAAATCATCTCTACCCCCTAATCCCATATTACAAATTGATTTTAGTTTCTTTGGCATAATTATATTATGATAATGATTCTCTACAGAAGTGGGTTTTCAGGTCCTGTAGATAGTTTCATTTAATAAAACAGTATTTTTTAGGGCACCACCAAATTTCGGTGGTCCTGTAGGGTGATGACCCTCATGACAAAAGCCATGGTACCCTTTCCTGCTTCTGTGGGTTTAAAAAATGCTAGAGAAAGTGTGGCAAAGAAAATCTTTTGTAACCTTGTCAATAACTTTTTTTAATCTGTCAGGTGATCAAAATGTTTCAATAAAAAAAAAAAAAAAAAAGAGGGAGAGGGTAATGGGGGTGGGAGATTGAGTTTGTTGCTTATTGTATTCTGTGATATTTCTTCTTCATTATAAATGCAAATATGCGATTGTTGGCATATTCCCATGTCATATACAATCAAAAGGTGATTTCAAGTTCAGTTTTCTTTTAGTGTCTTTCAATTTCTTATTTTGTTCGTTTGTTGTCCTCCAAGCACGGAAAATATTTGCGTACATAAGACGTATGCAAATATTAGACGTACATAAGACGTATACAACCTGTAACTTCTTTGTAAACTGCCTGTAACCTATAAATGAGTTCCGTGCTTCTGTAGTTTCATGGGTACAAATAAGTTACACGGAGGTTATAGAGGGGTATAAACCGGATATAACCCCCTGTACCCCCTGAATAACCCCTGATATACGAAGCGCTGCGTACATCTTATGTATGCAAATATTTTTCGGTTATCTGGTCTGCAGACATCACTCAATTCCTATGTATTTACATAACCTAAGCTTCAATTATATATATATATATATCTTTAAAAGGCTAAAATAGTGGTTATTTTTATGTGATATAAAATATTTGGGTGATGTAAATGTAAAAAAAAATAGAAGTTAGGTGTTAGATTTGTAAATGCACGGGAATTGGGTGGTACATATGTAAATGCCCTTACCTCTTTGGAGTTCAATTTTTAATTATTTGATCGAGTATTTTTCAAAGTTTTCTTTGCTAAGTTTCTTATCGATAATCGGTTAGTCAGGATTTATTTTTTCACCTGCTTTTTTGAAATTGTATATATATATTTATTTTTTCACCTGCTTTTTTGAAATTGTATATATATCGACTTATTAGTTATAAGAATGTATATATATATTAATGAAGCCTTAGTATCTAAATGTATCAAACACGTCAGTAATTTTAAATTAATTAAAATGAAATAAGTATTTTTTTAGACTTAGGCTTGATTCTAATTTAAGTATTAGATTGTTGTATAATTGAATACAAAAGTTTTAAGTGTTGGCTATTTAAAATAAAGAAGTTATATAATGTGTACGTAACTCTTACGAATATGTATTCTATAATAAATCGTCCAACAGTTATAATGGTATGATCAACTTTTACCTTTCGGGGAGATTTTCTTCAATAAAAATATGCAATGTTTTCAGCTAAAATGCTGTTTGATTGTAATTCTTTTGGATTTTTGTTATATTTAAAACAATAATAGATTAATTTGCTTTCGTTTATTGGTTTGATTTTAATTTTAATTTTAATTTAACCAAGTAAAATTGAAATTTTTTTTTTTCTATTTTAATTTTGGGCAAGAATCAATAAAATTAAGGAAAACTTTTAAGGGGAGCGTGTAATTTTACCAGATATGAGGAGGTGATTGGGAAAAAAATTAATTAAAAGCATCTATAAAATTTCTAATTTTTAAAAATTACAATTTTTTTTAAATATTTTATAATAAATAATAATATTATTATTATATATTAAGTATTATTATAAATACTACTGTTCATTATTCTATACATGAACCAAAATATTAAAATGATTAAATTAATTTTCACATTAATTAACAAATTGTAATTAATATTTAATTAATAAAAAGTAATTAAAAATTAAATTAACTAACAAAATATGATATTCACAAAATTTATTTCATTATTAAATATTTCCGTAGCATAATGTTTATATAAAAACAATACTAACTTCTATGTCGGGGTGTGATAGCACCTAAGTCTGTTGTATATCGAGACGGAGGTCGCTGTGATCGATGCCGCAACTAATGTTCTTGAAATTCTTTTTTAATATCATCACTTTCAATTGTGTCATTCATAGCATGTTGTGTCATCCAGTAATTTTCTTAGTTAAGATTTGATGGAGAATAAAATTGAGGTGTACCAAAATTCATGCCTGCCTCAGGAATAGATGCAAAAATAAGAATTTTCTGAAAATTTAAATTCAGGTCTCCACTAATAGTAATTGTCCACTGCAAGTCAAATGATAGAATCCCATATGTTAATGGTACTGCATAGCCCAACATAGCTAGAGAGGTCCTGCATAGATGGAGGGTCCTGCAATACAGATTGAACGGGATAAGCAGATGTCTTTAGATATTGTTGTTCTTGTGACTCTTGAAACGAAGATCATTGTGTTATGTTAATTGAAGATCTCATTGGAGCATCTGTTGCTGATTGTCTTGGAGCGATGGAAGACGACTGACTTGGAGCATTAGAGGATTATCTACGGGGGCCTTTGTGTTCTGACAATTGTTCTATAAGATGGCTTTGCTTCAAAATCATGCTCACTTAGTCGATCAAATACAATATAACCAATGTGTATTGATTCTTCCACTCTGCGAATAGCTTCAGAATCTCGCAATAACTTTGTTTCATGGAATTAGCAATTGTGTCATGATCCTCTCCAAACATTTTTGCAATATCCTTGCTACAAATAAACTAATCCAGTTGTAGATAATTTTATATTATTATTAAGTATTATAAAAGAAATTAGTAGTTGTTATAAAAGAATGCAAATACGTATCGTTATTCAATTTCCTGGTGATCGTGGGTAATAGGTATCAGGAAGTTAAGTTGGAGGCTTCACTAAAAAGAGTGATATCTAAGATCAATACCACTGCAAATAATGAGTTAATTCTTCCTCTTCGTATACTTGTGACGTGTTTAATGGTACAATAAATGTACGATAATTATTTTATATCTCAATATATTTACTGTAATATTGCTCTCAGTCAATTCTCACTCTATCTCGTTCATCGACTCACTTAAAACCATTTTGATGGGTTCAATAGATTTAGACTGAATGCTATAAAACTGTCGCATAATGCAATCTGGAAGGTGTCACTTGACACCTTTCCAGTTTATTAGTGGAACTTGGGCAATCAAAATATCCATGTTCTCAAAATATATGTCATGTAATAACATTATATTTACATCTAAATATGGTACCCAAATTACCTGTGTATCAACTTATAAATTAAATTTTATTTAATATATATTTAAGATAAGAATATTGGATTAAATAGAAAACCAGTATTATATATGACTCAGTCTGAGTCCATCAATTTCATCTTTATGCATCATTATATTTAGAAATGACACTTATCGTACCCACTCTTCATTCCACCTACAAGTTATTTAAACAAATGAGTTGAATGTAGTTAAAAAATTTGTCTGTGGATATGTAAATGGATAAAAATAATTTTGTACCTGAATCCGAGCGATTTGTCTGTTAATTTGTGAGGATCCGGAAGATGAAGAGTGGGCCTACCAACATATAAGTGCTCTCAAGCTCACGTTTGGAGCAAGTGCAAACATCCACCAATCGTGATACATGTAGACTTGGTTGATATATTCAATTCTCTATATAGATATGTTAGAAATGGGACACCGAAAGAATATTGTCTAAATACTTCAAATCCTCCAATAATGGTAAATATTCTAAGTGAACATGCAATCAGAGGTATGTAGAACTAGAAAACATTCTATCATGAATGAAATGTAAGCCCTAACGTGCTTTAAAAATTCATGTGGATATAAATCCACGTATGACACCCTGAAGAATTACCAGTTGAGTCAATAACTTGTGATTGAAAGTGTCTCATATAGAATTTTGATGTAATGATATGGTAAATGGGATGGTGGTAGATAACTTCATCTCTGGGATGGTTACCCAATAGGTCATCACAACATGCCAGTCAACTCGGCCAACACAATCGAGGCCCAACAACAATAGACCCCCCTAAGGCATTTCCATCTGTCCTAATAACAAGGAGTATTTGAACGTCTTGTAAAGTTATAGTCATCCCACCTGATAGATATGTATAGTGTATAAGTAAAAAAAAGTATAATTATCATAATAATATATAAATCTGAATGTATTTTACTGACACGTAAATGAAACATATTGCTCAGGGGGTACTGCCGCTCAAACAATGCACTTATAAAATGGTGGTCTAGCTTGATGTAGTTCAAGTGCCTGATACAATTGATTCCTGCAATTTGTAGTGCATGAATAAATCGTGGGCACTGGTCTTGTTAATCTTTGTCACTAGTGCATGACTTGCAGCTTCAAGATTTTTTTTCTATAAAAATTAGAGTAAATTAGTTGTGATAATGACTTCACATGAAATTTAAAATACAAAAAATATTTTTTTAGATGACATTATTAGGATATCTTGCACAATGTACTTCACCTAATGATGCAATACTAGGAAGTAAGAATATTGGTTGTACACTCCAGGCATGGTGGCGATGGCCTCATGAACTTGCTGCCTCAGCAATCTCTACAAAAAAAAAAACATAGTGTCCAAAAACAAAAAGTCCAAATGATAATACATTCTTGTTGATTGAATGGTGGCCATGACTTTTTCTTTGATATCATATGAAACAAATGATGCATATGTATGATGATATAAATCTAGTGTGAAATACTTCGAAACAAAAGCTGTGTGGTCTGAATGTCTGGCCCCCAAAGCCGCAATCACATGCACACATGGTATGTGATAGATTTGTGCCTTATTGCATGTGCATGAGCAGTTTTCTTAAGGAAGAATGTCAACATGAAAAGCTTTACAACTCATATCGAACAATTAATATTTAAGATATTTATGCAAGTCGGTTAAGGACATTAATGGGCCTCGCCCTCAATTCTTTATAGATTTGACCTTGTGAGTGGACTAAAGTTTGAACTCGCAGCTTCAATTCATTTTTGACACATTACTGGATCATTTAAGAAATAAAACAACTAAATTATAATATATAGCTCATATGAGACCCTAAATTAGGAGACCCCATGCAAGCTTAAGACCCCGTTAAAACTTTTTGATGTATTTGTGGTGATTGTGCCAAATCAGTATTCACCATCGTGTGTTAAAGATCTCTTTGTGATATCTTTTTCAATTAACCAATCTTAGGTCTTTTTCTTAATATGTTTAATATCGTTCATATGTCTATTAAAAGTCCTGAGTTCATAAGTGTTTCCAACCCAATACATTTTATTACAAATACTATCAACATCCCCTACTATAAGACGACTTAATGCCTTTTTAAATTTTTTCCTTAAATGATGCAAGAAATGACGATATGCATCCCATGAGAAAATCTCTTTACAGCCACATACCAAACCTGTGTGCTTGTCCGATATAATTCACAGATCTTGATGGGTCTTGATGACTCCCACTAGATCATATAGTTGTTGTAGAAATCATACCCATGATTCAGTATACTCAGAGTCAACTACTGCAAATGCAAGTGGAAAGCGTCTACCATTTTCGTCAATTCCTACTGCAAACAGTAAAATCCCTCTATACTTCCCTAGAAAGAAGTCCCATCCATATTAAGCACAGGTCAGCAAAATCTCCACACATAGATATTGAGGCCAAATGACCAGAGAGTACTATAGAAATGTGTAATATTTTTAACTTCTATTTTGTGTATTGTGCCTAGAATTGCACTGTGTATTACTTCCATTAATTGAAATAAAGAGCAATACAACTCCTCAAAACTAACAAAAATTGATTTTATAGTTTTTCTACATGCATCCCTTGTTTTGATATAACTAACACAAACATTAAATTTAAACTCCATCTAAGAAACAATTTCTTTGGTTTTAGGTCTTGTTGTTGTCTCAAAACTGAACTGACGTAGTGACATGTGAACTTTGAAGTGTAATTCAATGTCCAGTTGACATTATTGGATGGGTACATGTATGTGTTGCCCCAGTTACAGATATTTTCCATGCATCTTCTAATTGATGATTTTTCACAACGTGTAGACGCCAAAGACGCGGACATGATTCATGATTATAATGCACACACTGAATTGTAAGTCATTTTTAATTGAATTAGTTTTAATGTACTCTACGTTACGAATTATCTTTCATCCATTTAGAACATATAATAGAGCATCGTTCCTTGAAAATATCATTCCCTCAAATAATACATATGGGATGACATCATCTTCATGTAATGGCACTTGATTTATGGGAGCATCACAATCTTCATCTACATCTCACTCTTCAATTTTCTGACATTGAATTTAAGATCTTCATATTTAGCAATGTGTATTGACATAGTAAATCATGTCATTGTAATATGTTATTCGGCTCACCATCTTGCCCGATATGAGCCTCCATTGCCTCTAGATTGCTCAAATTTTCATTAGTGTCATTATCCATCTTTTCATAACCGCCTGTGTTAACATTCAAGTGCATACCCTGCGATTCTTTTTGCATGATCTGCTCAACATGTCTGCTAATGTAAGAGCAGAATGAATGTGATAGGTCAAATGATCGACGTGCACTATAATCAAGCACTAGTTGATCGGGAATATTATATAACCAGTGTTATACGTATTGATTGAAATTTGAGTTGGCCTGCAAAATAGAAGTCGTAAAATTTATGAAGTTTATAGTAAGTACCTTTAATTGTTACATCTAATCGGTATATGAATTTAACTTAAAATCATAAATAATTTAAAATAAACAAAAAATTTAAGAAAAAACGGACATTATAACAGCTGTGTAAAAAATTACATACAAAAATAACATTTATACAATTAATATTAGAAAAACAACTATATATATATATATATATATATTTAATGCCACCTTATCTATGCATAAAAATATTACCAGGGAAGAAAAGAATATCAGGACAAAAGAAAATTAAAAGAAGAGTAGGTATTTATAGGAAGGAGGGAGGAGAGAAAAACACCGCGAGGAAAAAATTATTGTGTACATACACCGCATGCAGAGATGCATGCGGTGTTCGATCCTGATCATAGATCACGGTGATCTACGGTCAGGATTTATTTCGGTGGGGCCCATTTTAATTTTTTTTTTTTTAAAAAAATTTTGATTGCATACTGACCGTAGATCACCGTGATTTACAGTCATGATCGGACACCGCATGCATCGCTGCATGTGGTGTATGTATGCAATAATTTTTCCAAGGGGATGGTTATTTTTGGTGGACCATTGGTCCTTTCCTTTGGGCCTAGCAAATTTGTGCTCTTAATTAAGTTTTTTTTCCTAGCTCCTCCCCCATATTTGTTAAATTACATGTTCCTTTTAAAATTTTCTCAAAATTTAATATCTACATTATATGTAACATTTGATTAAAATAAATTTATATATAACATTTGATTAAAATAAATTTATGTTTCATAAAATTAAATTGGTATTATATATATAATTTGTTTTTATTCATAATCAGCCTCTAACAATAATTAAAATTTGATTTGTTTATAATCGATCTGTGATGTTGTTCATAACAAGTCTCTAACAATAATTAAATCTCAGTTTATTTATGACCGAACTGTTTAAATTAAATTCAAGTTTTATTCAATTTTATCAAAATTTGATTGGTTTGATTTTTTAAATTTTGAATTCAATTGCAATCAATTAAGGGGTTGTTTGGTTTGGTTAAAATAAAATGTAATGTAAAAGATTTATAGATTACAATGACTTTGAAATATTTTCTAAATATTTGGTTCACTGTAAAATAAAATTAAGATATTATTATTATTATTTTTTATTTGAAGTAGATTGAAAATAAAGAGTTGCATGAGTAAAGCGTCTCAGCAGCCAACCACGGAGGATGGCGGTATCAGGCGGCAGGGCGGCGACCGGTGTTGTCTGGCAGTAGCGGATAACAGCGGCCGGCGGTGGACGGCGGGGGCATCAATGACCAACAACAATGGCAGCCGGGCAACGACGTGGTGGTGAAGGCGTAGCGGCAGCTGGGTGGCGACAATAGGTCGATGGCTGACAGAGGAGAGGAGTGGGCGCCGGGCGACTGGCAGGCAACTGGGGGTGTGCGGCAGCAAGCTGGTAGCTCCTAAAACAATTTAAAGCCAAATCCAAATCCACTGAATGTTCACCCCCTACCTATTACTACTTTTGCTCAACAGCTTCCCAACAAAACAAAGAAAAAAAAAACGGCACAATTGGCTATTTGAAATACATTTCATATAAATAATCTCTTTAATTTCTTTCTTTATCGTTATAGGCTCTGCTTCTCCATCGAGAACCATTTTAGCAAAAGCTCTACCTGCAAACTCATATCCGGATGAAGCATACAAGTGCTAAATCTCTTATTGCCAAAATCATTCCAGTAAAGCAACATGCAATAACTATATCTATACATGTGTGTGTGTGTGTGTGTGTGTGTGTGTGTGTTTGTGTGTTTGTGTGTGCCCTGGCTCATTGGTGCGGCCTCTAGCTTAAGTCCCTTGGGTCGGTGGTTCGAATCTCGTAGTGTAGGATCTTCGAATAGAAGCAAGCACAGCATGGTTTTCAACCCTTTGGGGGAATCGATATTTGGTGCCCACTAGACCAAAATATTGATTTCACCTTTATATATATATATATATGTGTGTGTGTGTGTGTGTGTGTGTGTGTGTGTGTGTGTGTGTGTGTGGGAAAAAAGTGGGTTTCTGTCATCACCTTTTCATACACAAGTAAAGATGCTTAGGCAGTAAAAATTAGAATTCGGGTGTGCGATAAGTAAATGCATAAGAATTGGGTGCTATGTATGTAAATTTCCGTAGATTAAAAGAGTAAACACCATCCTCAGCAGTCAGCACTCCTCGTAAATTCCTCATAAAAAACACAATAAAACAATCATAATAATAAATAAAACCCCACCATCTTAACAGATTATTTGAAACCAAATTCAATTTTTCAGACAATCAAAGTCCTTTCGATCAGCAGTCGTTTTCAGCACTACCTGTAGCATACCATAAAAAATATCAACATTCTGTGGCATTTGGTTCCAGCGGCTTCAAAGCAGGCAGTTTCCTAAAGGTTATATTATGAAAAAACAAGATTGAATTTATGATGAATACAATACACAAGTAATTAATTTGAATTTATACTAAGGGCATTTACGTATATACCACACAATTCTTATGTATTTATATATCTAACACCTAAACTTTCAAATTTACAAGTCACTCTAATCTTTAAATAAAATTAAAAACATCACTTCTGCTAACTTTTTGAAAGTGAAGTAGACTATTCATGAACAGGTTGAAGACACCAAACTGTTACAAATGTAAATACAAAGAAATTGAGTGGTATGAATGTTAATTTTCCTTTATAATCCAACACTTTAGACAAAAATCTTGAACCTTTTTTTCCCGTTATATTAATCCGATCAACAAATTAACTATCCTTCGCTGTGGAGACAGAGCTTCCTCAATGTCACAGACGTTCTCCTCTTCTGGACAATCTCTCTTCCCTTCCAGGTCTGAAATCCCGCTTTTCGATTGATCTCATGCTTCCACGAATAACGCGCTTCCCCATGCATCAATACAAGAGAGCCTGGATTCAGTAGAACAGGAATCCTAACTAGAGAACCTTCTTCACCAGCTTCAGCCTCATGTAAATGAGTTTCTTGATCAGCTCTGGAGAAATGCATAACACACTCCGATTCCATCGAAACGATAGCAATTCCGTCCTCGAATCGCATTAGATCGACATGAGCGCATATTCCCTGCAAGAAAAATGAGATCTATAATGTTTTTTTGGAATGTTTTATAGAAACTTGTCTGGGTCGACCTCAAGTTATGAAAATAGGAACAAAGAGACTAAATTCAAAGAGAAAAGTGTCAAAAAGATCATCATATTCTTTTAATATGAGTTGAAATAATTCTTAGTTAGCCCCATTAAAAAAAATGACAAGGACTAATTTAGCATTTTTATAAACACAGTAAAAAGGACTCATGTCAATGGTCAGGGGACTATTTTGGCAGCAACAACAAAAACAACCCTTTATTCCACTATGGGGACAATTTTGGCACTTTGCACAAAATTTAAATAAAAGATGGTAGAGAAAAGAAAACTTTCCCGGTATTTCTTATTAGAATCAGTTGAAGGGAACTGAGATTGTAGAGTTAAACCAATGTGTTGCCATTAACATTTCTTTTAAGCAAAATTATTTATAAAAAAAAAAACTTAAGGTATGGCATAGTATGGGTCTTTGCACGCATGCAGCCCCCAAGCTGTCTGCATCTATACAAAGGATCTTCTACTCTTAGTAAGGTAGGGATGTGCACTAAATTGGACAAAACCAAAAACCAAACCGAAACAGACAAATTGGTTGATTTGGTTCGGTTTCAAAAATACATTTTAATTTTTTATTTTTAAAACCTTAATATTCAATTTTCGGTTGTTGGTTTGGTTTGAATTTTTATTTAATCAAATAAACTGAAAAACTAAAATTTAATTAAAATTTCTTATTATATTTTAGGGGAATTTACATGCATGCTATCCAATTCCTGTGTATTTATATATCTAAGACCTAAACTCTACTTTTTTATATTTATATCATGCAACTCTTTTATATTTCATTTAAAATGCGACCATTTTAACTTGTAAAAAGTGAAACTTACCCTTTCATGCATATAGATAAAGTGTCATTAATGTAAAAATTGAAGTTTAGGAGGTATATATGTAAATACATAGGAATTAAGTGGTATGTTTATAAATCTTTCTATGTTTTAATTTCATATAAAAATAAACCAAAATTTATCATATATGCAACATTTTATTAAGAAAAATGATACATAAATTTATGTTATATAATTTGTAATGTTTGTTCATAGTCAAGCTCCAAAAAACAATAATTTTTCAGTTTACTCATAATCAAACCGTTTAAACCAAATTGAACTTAGGTTAGGTCGATTCAATTTTATCAAAATTTTGATTGCTTCGGTTTTTCAGATTTTTTATTTCGGTTGCAATCGATTTGACCAATTTACAAATGAATCCATTCAAATTGACCGAATGCTAACCCCTACAGTAAGGTATAATAGGGAAGCGAAATCTTGTAGAGTCCCATTCCCTTACCTTATTTTATTTTTTTTAATGAAGAAGGTGACTGCTGAAGCACAAATTTCAGTGGAACTCGATTTTATAACCCTAATAATAACTTCCAAAATTTTAACTAACTGAACCAGCTACACCTGCAAATTATGTGGAGTAGATTTTTAACTTGAACTTTCATTGTTTGATGTGACAAATAGAAAGAAAAATAAACCGTCAGGCAGAAACAGAAAACAACACTGCCAAAACCTCCACAATAAAACCTGATCAAGGAAGTAACACCATTAGATGATCTTAATCTATTAGAATTAAATGAAAATGAGACACTCAATAGGATGCAATGGAGAAAAAATAGGCTTGTTATTGTTGCTGTTGTTGTAGAAGTAACACAATTCCAAAGAAACCTTGCTGTAACAAAATATGATGCATTTACTGACATAACCTTTAGTGTAACACCTTCACAAAACAACATCATTCGTAACAAAATATAATGTTTTTTAAGGAGCAATTACATACATATCACTCGAAACATTACTATTTACAAATCCAGCACTATCTTACATCCATTTGTCAAATTCTCACCCAAATAACAAAATTCACGATAAAAACCCAACCCATATTTTTCAATTTTATCAAATTCTCAATGGTTTGATCTTTGACATGCGTAAATGCATAGGTTTGGTAGTTGAAAAAAATTTTGCTGCTAGTTTTGTAAATAACAATTTTTGAGTGTTGTGTATCTAATTATTCCTTTTGTAACATTACATTCACGCAACAAAAGTTTCATCATAAAAGATGGTAAAAACTAGCTTTTAAGAACAGCCTCACAACTATAATTGTACGCACTGCCTTCTAAATGACAATAAAAAAAGTTGAGTATCCGTTGCTGTGAACAGCTTAATGTCATATATATGACACTCCGACTCATTAACTTGTCTGCACATTAGCTGCCAATGAACATGATTTATTTTTCTGAAATATTAATAAGGGCTGTAAAGAAAATTAGTATACTCAACAAAACACTGAACACTTATTCATATGCCTTGCTTATGTTTATTTATTTGGATAATTTAAGAAGATATCAAATTTTTTAAAGCTTTGCATATAAATAAACAAGTTCAAAAATTGATTTATTCCTTTATGTTTAAGAATATGTTCATCTTTTGTTTAATCAGTGATTTGTTGAGCCCAAAAGGTGCTCATTTCATGATAAATTTATTTCTTATTTGACGACTTATTCTAGGTTATTATGTATTTTTTTTCATATGCAATGTACTCTGAAAAAACATTTATATTACTGTGTATTTATGTTGAAAAGTTTGAGTGAATAGCTAAATGAAAGGATTAAAATCTAATTTTATTATTTATTAACATTTTAATGCTATAGAAATAATAGAAATAGGAAATAAATTATACTAATTTAAATGAAAAATTATGAACACATTTATGTTTAATATTAAGGCTATATATATAAATCTTTCGCATCCTAAATAGAGTAATACCAGTCCAAACTTGATAGGCTCAAAATCAATGATAGAATTCAAAAAAAAGTTTCAACAAACTTTTAAAACTGTTCAAGCTTAAATAAATAACAATCACACCTCATAATCTTCACTTACATTAGATCAGTAAAACAAAACCTTGTTTTAATATATTTTTTTATACAATTTGGAGGTGAACACTGTCATTGCCGGTCTCAAGCCCGGATGTGAAAAGTTGAGGGTTGCGTTATTAGATAGTCGACAACTAGCGTAAAACTTGTCGAAAAAATCATGACACGAATCTCTTTGATCATTGTGAAAGTGCTAGAGCGTCCCCTGGGAGCGACGCATTGTACGGCCCGAATACAGTGAAAATGTGCAAGGGCCGCTACACCGGCACCCAGGTGCAGTGTCAAATAAGCAAGGGTTCTCATATTACAGACAGATGCGGGTAAATAAGTTAGTCAATGAAAATAATATTATGATAGGATCTTGGAATATAGGTACTCTAAATGGTAAATGAATGCAATTTGTTGATATTATGATTCATAGAAAGATTAATATCTTATGTATTCAAAAAACTAAATAGGTGGGAAAAAGGACTAAGGAGATTGATAACTTAGGTTTTAAACTTTGGTATTTTGGTAAGAGCCGAACTAGAAATGGTGTAGGTGTAATTATAGATAAGAGTTTGAAAGATAATGTTGTAAAAATTAATAGAGCTGGAGATATAATTATAGCCCTTAAGATTATTATTCATACTAAGATTTTTTAATATTATAAGTGCTTATGCTCCTAAAGTAGGTTTAGATATAGAGTCTAAAAATAAATTCTGGAATCACTTAAATAACTTAAAACAAATGATACCTCTTGAAGAAATAATTTTTACTATAGGAGATTTAAATGAACATGTCAGTAGTGTGGTAGAAGATTTCAAAAATATTCATGGTGGCTACGATTTTGGAGTGCCTAATGAAGAAGGTTGAGTCATTTTAGATTTTTCTTTAACGTATGATTTTGTTATTACTAATACTTTATTCAAAAAAAGAAATGAGCATCTTATTACTTATAAAAATGACTCTAATAAAACATAAATTGATTATTTTCTTATGAGAAGAACAGATCGTCGAGATTGCAAAGATTGTAAGGTCATTCCAAATAAGAATTTAAGTATTCAACATCGATTATTAGTTCTAGATTTTAAAATAAAGAGTTGTAAAATAAAGAATATTAGAACTATTTTTATGAGTAAAATTCAAATTTTCAAAATTTAGGATTCATGAAGAAGTAGATGTTATATGGGTTAAAGTAATAAACACTATTAAACAAGTAGTAAAAGATATACTTGGAGAATCAAAGGAAAAAGTTTCTATAAATAAAAATAGTTAGTGATGAAATAATAATGTGCAAGAAAAGATAAAATATAAGAAGATATGTTATAAAAATTAGTTTAAATGTAAAAACTTAGATAACTGTGAAAAATATCAAACTGCAAGCAGAGAGTCTAAAACAACAATTTGTGACGCTAAAAATTATGATTTTAGTGATTTTTATAATATATTAGATACTAAGAAGGGTGAAAATATATATGTGATGAAATAATAATGTGCAAGAAAAAATAAAATATCACATAATAATGTGCAAGAAAAGATAAAATATAAGAAGATATGTTATAAAAATTAGTTTAAATGTAAAAGCTTAGAGAACTGTGAAAAATATCAAACTGCAAGCAGAGAGTCTAAAACAACAATTTGTGACGCTAAAAATTATGATTTTAGTGATCTTTATAATATATTAGATACTAAGGAGAGTGAAAATGTATATGTACAAACTAGTCAAATATAAGGGAAAAGAAAAGATTTAACTCAAGTAAAGTATATTAAAGATGAAAATAAAATAATATTTTTTTAGAAAAAGATATTCAACATAGGTGAGTAAATTATTTTGATAAACTATTTAATGAAGTTTTCAAAAACACGATAGATCTTAGTGATCTTAATATCGTTAATAATAATAAAACGTTTCATTTTTACCGTCGCATTAGTAAAAAAGAAGTTGAGCATGCTTTAAAGAAAACCAAGGGTGGAAAGTTTGTAGGGTCTGATGATATCTCAATGAAAGTGTGGAAATATTTAGAAGATTTGGGCGTTTCTTCGCTTACTAAACTCTTTAATATTATTTTAAAAACTAAAAAGATGTCTGAGGAGTGGAGGAAGAGTATTTTCATCCCGATTTTTAAGAATAAATGAGATGACAAGAGTGTGAAAATTATAGAGGAATTAAGTTGATGTGTCCTACTTTAAATTTATGGGAGAGAGTAACTAAACATAGGTTAAGACGTATTACAAAGATTTCTCATAATCAATTTGGATATATGTCGGTCAGGTCTGCTGTGGAAGCAATACATTTATTGATAGGTTTAATGGAGAAGCTCAGAGATAATATGAAGGATCTACATTTAATTTTTATTGATTCAAAAAAAGATTACGATAAGGTTCCAAGAGATATCCTTGAGAAGAAAGGTGTTGATATGAATTATATTCAAGTCATTAAAGATATGTATACTAGAGTTGTTACTTGTGTTCGAACTGAAGGAGGATTAACCAAATATTTTCCTATTTTTGTTGGATTACATCAGGGATCGGCTTTAAGCCCGCATCTTTTTGCTTTAGTTATGGATGGTCTTACTGGACATTTACAGGATGATATACTTTGGTGTATGTTTTTTGTCGATGATATACTTCTCGTGGATAAAACGAGAAAAAAAGCCTAAGAAAAACTTGAATTATGGAGGTCTACATTGGAGTCAAAATGCCTTCATTTGAGTAGAACTAAAATTGAATACATGGAATATAATTTTAGTAGTAGTAATTCTAATGACATAAGTGTAACTTTGGGTGACCAAATTATTAAAAGGTGTGAATGATTTAGATATCTTGGTTATGTTGTTCAAAGCGATGGTGTGATATAGATAGGGATGTTAATAGTAGAGCTCAAGTTGGTTGGTTCAAGTGGAGGAATGCTTCGGGCCCCTTTTGTGTGATAGAAAAGTACCGCTTAGGCTGAAAGGAAAATTTTATAAGATGGTGGTGAGACCTGCAATGCTCTATGGTGCTGAATGTTGGCCTTTAAAAGAAAAGCAACATACTAGTTTAAGTGTTGCCGAGATAAGAATGATTAGGTGGATGAGTGGCTTTACAATTAGAGACAACGTGAAATGAATATATCCGTGATAGGGTTGGTGTAGCTCCAGTGACGGACAAAAATTAGAGAGAGTCGTCTTAGATGGTTAGGTCACATTAAACATCGACCATCTGATGATTCGATTAGGAGAGTAGATGTTTTAGATTCCACTTATGTTAAAAAAGGCAGAGGTAGACCTAGAAAGAATTGGGCTTATTGTATAAAAATGATCTTAATTTATTAGAACTAAATGAAAATATGACACTAAATAGGACGCAATGGAGAAAAAGGATTCATGTAGCTGTTTGGCAGAGGATTAGGAACATCCTGGCCCGTGAATACTATAAATGACAATTACTTTCTTTGTAAAGTTTACTCACAGATATAGTTAATTCACAAACATAAGCATCACTAAGGCTGACAATTACAGGCTATTGTTCAGAGCAAAAACATAACAAGCTACTTCGCTGTAATATGAATTATTACTTTCTTTGTAACGTTTACACACAGATATAGTTGGCATCTAACAAAAAAAGTTCGCACCTCACCTGGTTGGTACACATTTGTAATTAGCTGATCAAAAAGTGGTTCTCTCCACAGTAAATTGAATGGTAATGGTCCGGATTCATCTATTTGTTGTTCTTCACAATCCAATTCCAGGTCATTATCAGGATCTTTTTCACTGAAGCATACAGCTTTCTGAATCAATCTAGAAAGATCAGTAGCCCAACTAGGAAGATCTCCAAACCTCATGGCCTGCAGATATGAATACCACACATTACAAAATTATGGTATTTGAGTATACGAAACAGATGTTATATTTTAATTTTTCTTAAATATATACACTTTCTTTCATTTGAACGAAGAAAATATCAATGCTGGTATTCTAACACATAAGCCATGCAAGATGATTTAAAAAAGATAAATAAGTCGATGGTATGACAGATTAAGTTTAGAAAAGTAAAAGACGGGATCTAAACCCTAAAAGGAAGACTCAGTACAAAATAAGAAAGAGAGTAACGAGAACAGAAGGGAACTTGGTTTTATAAGGCAGTCGTATCTGGCAGATTAGAAAATAAGGACAAAGAAGGTTATGCTAATTCAATATAGTTGAATTTGTTTCCCCGTTCCCATGCACTTGATACATCTATATAGACGTTAACGTTAAAACTCCAATCAGGAAGATCCTTCTATTGATCTCTATACTTTAAAATTCTGAAAGTAGACAAAAAAACTAGAACGACAGAATAAGAGTTTATGAAGGTTCACAAAGTATTTTGATGGACAAAGAAAAAAACATCATACAAATGAGACATTATTATTTCATTTCTAAAAAGTTGTAGAAAAAAATGGAGAAAATTAAACACCTGATTATGAGAACTCTCAGTGAACCATCCTTCTGCAAATAAAAAACATAAGTCAGAGCGGAAAACAACAATTTGATAAGGAAATGTAGACATATTAACCGAGTTTGCTATTCTCATATTTTCTATTTTTTACCCTTTGCACTAACTAGAGCCAAAGTATCAAACAATTTCTACAGAAATAGTACATTTTACAGGCACACAGCTTAGATGAACTTTTATCTTCCACCAATATAAAGGAAAATTTTAAGAACAGTCTTCTAAAGTTTTAATCATAATTTCATAATGTAGCGTCTGCATGAAAATAAAAAGGTCTGGTAGTTGCAAGCAGTATCTCCAACAAAAAATAAAAATAAAAAATAAATAAATAAATAATAATAATAATAATAATAAAATTGCAAAAACGTTGTTGAACCCAGATATGTCCGTGCTCAAATCTTACTAGCATTAAGGAGAAGAGGGAGATGAGGAGCCTATGGGAAGAGAGAGTCCTCCTTTTCCATCCTCCTTTTTATAGATCTCAAGATGTCGTTTTGAGTTAGTACAAAATTTGACAAATAAATAAATAAAAAGTACATAGAGGTGTGTAAAGATCCATAATGTCATATCACATCTCGCAGCTTTATCTCATGTCATCTCTTATAGCAATATTCAATGTGTTATGAGAGTAAGAGCTTGGCAGGTCAACTCATCGAGTTAACTAGCCTGATCAACTCGATAGATAAATTCATTGGTTCAACTTTGTCTATCAACTCGGCAAATCAACTTGCCAAGTCAACTCGACATTTGACAGTTTGACAAGTATTTTTAGGTTTATAAATTTAATTCTTAGATTTTCTTATATCTTTGAAGGACTACAAAAAGAATAAGAGAATGAGAAATATTAAGTTATGTATAGCTCGTCTCTATTAGACAAGTGTATATTTCTCTTATCAAAAGAATGAATCTTTAGATGTGTTATTTTTTATGAATATAAACTAAGACTATTTAGATAAAGATAGGTAGTGTATTTCACCATGTAAATGGTTATTCGTCTGCTAGAAGGCGCTTAGCTCTCCTATAGAGAATCATGCTAGAAGCACTTTGGCTCACCTACAGAATTTCGTCCTTAGAGCATTTTGGCTCATCTTCAGGGAATGCTCTTATAGATTGTCAGCTCATCTTTTTTATCATTTTTTCTATTCAGTTATTTGTTTGATTGACTTGATGATATTACAATGCGAGTTCCCCAAGTGTTATCAGTGAACATAAATTTTTTATAAGAAATTTCAACCTTTTTGTGCGACTAGATTGATTATTCTCCTGCAATATAACTCAATTATAAAGGAATTCAAGCAGTTTCATTAAATTTGAACTATCATTCCAAGGATCATAGTTCTCCTACAAAGAGTAGTCTTAATTTTTCAATTTTATCTAGGGCGAGATCTCATGATATTCAATCCTTAGGTTAACTAACTTCATCCTTTATTTGTCCTAGTTATATTTTGGAAATGATTTTCCAAATTCATCCCAATATTCGATTATTGAGCTAAGTACGATCTAAAAATTCTAGCGATTATTCTTTTTTACTCTTAAAAAACCCATAAGGACAAATTTTCCCGATTTATAAAGAAGATGAGTTCTCCGAGATATCAAAACTATTTTTCGATAAAGTCACTAATGAAAAATATCAAAAACATAATGAAAAAATAAAAAACAAATTGACGATAAGAGTTCAAATGGTAAAATGCTTATAGAAAAAAATAAAATTTTAAGGATAGAATATATTATCTCCCCTAATAAGATTTTTGATATATGATCTTTGTAGTCCCTCAAGAGATCTCTACGTGTAACTTTGGATTTAAGATATTTTCACGCTCTTGGCACTTTTAGTGTATTGGACCCCAAATATGTCCATGAGTTATGTCCAAATCTTACTAGCATTGAGGAGAGAGGGAGATGAAAAGCATGTGGGAAGAGAGTCATCTTTCCCTTCCTATTTTTTATAAATCTTGAGGTGTCCTTTTGAGTTGGTATAAGATTTGACAAGAAATAAATAAATAAAATATAAAGAGATATGTAAGAATCCGTGATATCATATCACATCTCACAACTTTATGCCATATCATCCCTTTTAACCATATTAAATGTGTTATGAGAGTCAGAACTAGGCAAGTGAATTTGCATGGTCAACTCATTAGGTCAACTCAACAAGTCAACTCATCAACTCAATTCGGTAAGTCAACTCAGGTCAACTTGACACGTGATAGCTTGAGAAATCTTTTTAAGTGTATACAAGACATATCTGCGTTCAACATGTCCGTGCGTTATGGCCAAATCCTTCTAACATTAAAGAGAAAGAAGAGAAAGAGAGAAAGAAGGGAGATGAAGAGCCTATGGGAAGAGAGAATCCTCATTTTCTTTCTTCCTTTATAAATCTCAGGATATCCTTTTACATTGGTACAAAATTTGACCAAAGATAAACAAATAATACATAGAGATATGAAAAGATCCATAACATCATATCACATCTCACAGTTTTATATCATGTCATCCCTTAAAGTCATATTAAATGTGTGTTAAGACAGTCAGAACTTGACAGGTCAACTCGGCTGGACAACTCGGCTGGACAACTCATCAGGTCAACTTTCCAGGTGAATTCAACAAGTCAACTTGTCATGGCAACTTGACACCTAACAACTTTACAGGTCTTCTAGGTGTATAAATATATATGACTATATGATTTAGCACAAAAAATTAGACAAAAAAAAAACAATGAAGCATAATGGAAACTTATCCATCAAAATGATAATTACATTCCAAAGGTTGAGATAATTTTACCATAGCATATCAACCAAGAAATCATATATGCAAAGCTATAAAATGAAAAGAAACTCAAGCAAATTGGTCTTTCAGTTGTACAGGCACTTACTGGTCTACAAGTAAAATGGAAATTTAATGTGAATTATAAAGAAGACCAATTGTACCATATAAGAATCAATGATAAATGCTCATTTGAGTAAGAGAAAAAGTCTAAATCAACTACAAAAATGTGTCAAATACATTTGCTGCAACAGTATTAAAAGTTCTTGTCTGGAGCCTTCCTTTCCTCTTTCCCGTGTTCTCTCAATGAGACGTATGGAGCACTAAAATGGAGGTGCAGACACGCACATTGTTCCGAGCTTACAACACGGAAAAGCAGACTCTTCCCACCAGTGTTAAGAAAATAGGAATTGGCGCAAGCTCCACCACACTGAATACCTTGTATACTTGCTAATTGGTCATTCCATCTACCGTTTGATATGGTTTCGAAGTCGAAGCCAATGGTTTAGACGAAGAAACTGCACTTACTCTATTAGTATTTAGCCACCTATGCCAGAATGGAAACGAATTTGATTGTGGAAGAAGGATGCGTTTTAACAAGCTAATCCCTACCAGAAAGGATATTTCCATAGACAGTAAACAATAATTTTGAAAACAACTTCCGTACAAGAGGAATTTAAAACTTGCAGAGGCATTATCAATTATATAGCATCCAGAAAAACTAAATTTGATTTAAAGACATCAAAACATAGCATCCGTCGATACTTCGATGATTGATTTCCCCTCTTGTACAGCAGGATTGGTATAGAGCGATACCTCGAAGAATGGCTGATAAAAGAAGATTTTGATCCTTGTCAGAAAGGAACTCACGGCACAGCCATAATCCATCAATCCCTTCCACCGATTCCCAGATGTAAAGCCTGTCTTCTTCAGTCTACAAAGATTTTGAGACGCAAATCGATCGGAACAGGAGAGGGAAGAGAAGGGAAGAGAAGCGGATAGAGTGAGGGTGACGAACAGTAGGGGAGAGGACATCGCCGCTGCTATCCGATAAATCACCAAATGCGCATTCGATGGCTCGCTGCGGAAAGTGGGCGTCGTCGTCTTCCATTGCGAGGGCAAGGCAAAAATGTACGATGGTAAGCGTGTGTTTCGTTATTCCTATGTATTTACATATCTAGCATCTAAACTTCATCTTTTACATAAATGACATCTTATTATTGGAAGGAGTTTCTCACTTCAAAAAAGTGATATTTTTTTGTGTAATGTGTGTGATTTGGATCGTATGGATATAAAAGGTAAAGTTTTGGTGTTAGATGTATAAATACATAAGAATTGGAAGGTATTTATGTAAATCTTGGTTGTTCGCGAGAAGGTTGTGTTCGGCTCATTAAAAAGCTCGTGTTCGGCTCGTTCGCTAAGTTAACGAGCTGAACAAGAACAAAAATTTGTTCATTCGTGTTCGGCTCGAAATACTACTCATCAATTATATATATATATATATATATATATATATATAGTAGTATTTTAATTTTTAAAAATTTAATTGACTACAAGGCTACAAAAATTTATAATTACTCAAAAGTGTTAAATTGTTAAATTAGATTCAAATGATGTTTTATGTCTTGCCTCAATTCTTAACATCTTATGGCAACGTAATTAGGGTTGTCAAAACAATTCTTTATTCGTGAATGACTCGTGTTCAGCTCATTAAGGTAACGAGTCGAACACGAACACATTTTTTGAGCTCGAAATATAAACGAGCCGAACACGAGTTGAGCCTGGGCTCGCTCTTTTCGGCTTGTTTACACCACTAGTATGCACTTATATTGTGTCAAAAATATATTTTAGAAAATAATGAATTCAATAAATATTATTATTTAGTTGTATGTAGTTGAAAGCATAATTTGAGCTTTAAACTCTAGACTTTTTCTAAAACTTTTAAAAATTAAAATGTTATTGTTATGTGCAATATAAATACAAAAAACATAATTATTATATTTTAATTCTAAACAAATAAATTGACTTATCACGTTATCGTATGTAAATTAAGGTTTTTTTTTGTCAACTTCATTGCTTGCAGAGAATGTTGTCTAATTGGAGAATTTTTTTGAGAGAGTTCATCTCATGTGTGGGGTTATTTTCAAAAATATAACTTATTAATGATTAAGGAATTACTAATGAGGGTTAAAAGAAATAACATTTATATAAAACGCGGACAATCAATAATAAGATAATTTTAAATATATTATTTTAATTTATTTTGATTAACTGCAGTTTCATTTGTTATATTGCAGACAAATATACATAATTTAGTTCATATCGTCTGATTGTCTGTTCTCGTCTTGATTAATTCTACTTCCCGGGCTATTTTTTGATATGTTTGATTTGTTTTAGCTGGAAATAAAGATATTATATCATTTAAAATGAAAAAATAAAATAAAATATCAGATTTCTAAATACATAAGAATTCTGTACAATTGCAACAATATTAATCAGTAACTCGTAAATTACATTTTCATACATGAAGCAATTAAATGAAGTGCAATAGGGACAGTACTAAACTAAATCGATTAGACTGCTGTGTTAATGTCATTCTAATTAGATTGCTGTATTAAACTGATAAGAGTTAGCCGATCGAATGATGACTAATACGTACACATCAAGATTGAGAATTTATGCCAGGAGAGGTTCGGTCAATCGTTTCGATTGAGTTTCTTCCAATTCCATGGTGCAAGTAACCAGTGCTGAAATTAATGCACAAATTGAAGGAATGAGCCCCAGCCCATACCTTGTAACTGACAAGCCTCCATTTTCCGCCGAGGATCTCATAATATGATCCGAATCTACAATACAACAATAAATATTTATCATGAGATAAAAAAAGGTTTAGTGGTTTGAAGAAAATTAGTGGCAAAGATAAAGTAGAGTGAAGGTTTCATGATCATATTTTTAGTTTTATAACCTGTTTTGCTTCAAGTGAAATATTACAATTTACAATTGAGGATGGGTTGCTTACAACATGACATCTACCTCTACAAATCCGCATGAAGATGCGATAAAACATGTTATGAAATAGGAGAAAGAAGGGGAAAGAAAATAATTGATCAATTTTGATCAAGATGAGTTTCAACATTCTTCAAATTGGTTTAAGCTGAGTGTAATATCTGAATAATAAATCACCTCTTGCATTCATGTCAAAGTGAATCGGATAGTGTTAAAATCCATCCAAATCTTGATATACATTTCTTTTTTTGGGAAATTTACACTAGTAGTCTCAAACCTAAACTTTCATATTTACATGCATGGCAGTTTGATGCTTTAAACTTCTACATGAAAAGGGAGGGGGGAATTAATTTAAGGATTCACGGTTCACAAGCCACCAATAAAATTAACAATTTACTTTATTTTAATATAAATAAGCAATACGAGAATTATAAACCATATGACAATGCTATGACTGGATTATCAATTTAAAATCAGCGAGTAATGCAATATATTCATCACAATAAAATTCCAACTATATCAAATTTGAACAAAATTATGAACACTAGTAACAAGTAATGATGAAGAAATAATGTCAAGAAAATAATTCGCCAAAGACATTTAGGTCTGGCACTAGTATGACGAAAAGCTTTCACCCAAAAAATAGTCTCGCTCAAACAAACAAGAAGAAAATAAGGGGAAATTTTATTCAATCAGCAGCAACAACAACAAAACTTTATCCCACTAAGTGGGGTCGGCTACATGAATCCTCTTTCTCCATTGCGTCATATTGAGTGTCATATTTTCATTTAATTCTAATAAATTAAGATCAATTTTTATACAATATGCCCAAGTCTTACTAGGTCTACCTGTCTTTTTTAACATAAGTCGAATCTAAAACATCTACTCTCCTAATCGGATCATCAGATGGTCGACGTTTAATGGGATCAAACCATCTAAGACGACTCTCTCTAATTTTATCCGTCACTGGGGCTACACCAACCCTATCACAAATATATTCATTTCACATTTTGCCTCTAAGTGTAAGGCCACTCATCGGCCACTCATCCACCTAAGCATTTCCACCTAAGCATTCTCATCTAGGCAACACTTAACTTAGTTTTATGCTTCTTTTTAAAGGACAACATTCAACGCCATGGATCATTGCAGGTCTCACCACCATCTTATAAAATTTTCCTTTTAGTCTAAGCGGTACTTTTCTATCACACAATAGGACCGCAGCATTCCTCCACTTCAACCAACTAACTTGAATTCTACTAATAACATCCCCATCGATGAAACCATCACTTTGAAAAATAGACCGAGATTACCTAAAGCGTTCACATCTTTTAATAATTTGATCACCCATAGTTACAACTCTGTCACTAGAGCTACTACAACTAAAATTACATTCCATGTATTCAGTTTTAGTCAAATGAAGGCCTTTAGACTCCAATGAAGACCTTCATAATTCAAGTTTTTCCTAAGCTTTCCCTCTAGTCTTATCCACGAGAAGGATATCATAAACAAAAAAAAAAACATACACCAAGCTACATCCTCCTGTAAATGATCCAGTAAGAGCAGAGCATCCATAACTAAAGCAAAAAGATTTGGGTTAAAGCCGATCCCTGATGTAATCCAACAGAAATAGGAAAATATTTGGGATTGTACATCCAAGAAGATTGAAATGTTTGAGATGCAAAGCATATAGATGGAAGATATATGACAAACATAAAAACACACCTAAGGATTGTCAAAATGTCAATATTTACTATGAACTCATCATTACTACTTTCTTGATAAGTTCAATCAAGTTCATTGACATCTTTATGGGAAAAATTATCTCTGATATGACCAAGACATTGAAAGGTGTGATTATATCAAATATCATTAGAAAATTTAAAAATTGAAATTAAGAACCGTAGTGTTATAAATATCATAAATCAATTTCTCAAATGCATGTAGTTCAGAAATCAATATCAATTCTAGAAGCTCAATAATCCCTATCTCAAGTTCAGAAAAAATTTTAATATCCGAAAGTTACTCTATGAACATTATTATTATAATGGCCTTGGATTTTGCAAATGAATTTGGTGATGATTATGAGAAAATAATAATAGGAGAGCATCCTTTTGAAACTGAGGTTATGAACCTAATAATTCTATGATTGAAGATGAACACGAGCCACAACTTAAAAGATAAGTTAGAGATCAAACCTGCACATAAGTCTACAAAGCCTTCAATTACTATTATAGTTTTGCAGTCTCCATAAATGAAGATATATTTTCCACATTAGATTGTCCTATTGTCTATCATATTAGAGTGTCATAATATTGCAAGATGGACCTATTGTAATAATGGTCTTGGATTTTGCAATTAAATTTGGTGATGATTATGGGAAATAATAATAGTAGAGCCTCTATTTGAAATTGAGGTTGTGCCTGAGCAGAATTATGAACCTCATAGTTCTATGATTGAAGATGAACATGAGTCACAACTTAGAAGATATGTTTGAGATCAATCCTGCACATAAGTTAACAAAGCCTTCAATTACTATTATAGTTTTGCAGTCTCCATAAATAAAGATACATATTCTGCATTAGATTTTCCAATTGTTTATCATATGATAATGTCATAATATTGCAAGATGTCTAGATTCTCCACTAATAATTGAGGCTATTATATGGGATGCTACTCAACTCCCTATATTATTATTATTGGCCTTTTTATGTTTACATGTTGACCGTCTACTATCATAATCAATTTGCTGTAGAATTCTATCTCATTTAATTCATAATGTTTATGGACATCCAACCTCTAGACTTCCAAATTCTTCATAAATTACTTTGTCACTAATAGTCCCACTCGTCATTCATGATGCTATCATATGACCACCCTACTATAGTTCATGCATATTTTTGGGTGATCCTAGAGCTTTGCATGAGCCTGTTTGGCCTCCACCCTTCAAACTCTTTGAAAAAGAGTTTCTTTTTTCCATGATGAAATGATGTAAGACATATGGTCATCAATAATCTCTGATCATTAGTTTATAGGCATGTGTTTTTAATAAATAAATAGTTCATATATATGTATTAATGACACGTCATTCCTTTTCTCCATAGTTATTGCAGCATTAGAAAATTATTGTATGCCCTAAGCATGAATTAAGAGATCGAGACTCTTGTATTAAAAAAATTGATTGATTGAATTGTTAAATAAAATTATTGTCCCTTATTAAGGCCTCCTTTATCTCATGTATCTCTATTTCTTCACCCGTTTCTCTCTCCATGAATTTCTTATATGTGCCTTTTTATTTGTTATTTTCAGGTCATGAGATCAAAACCATCCATCAAAAAATTAGAAATATGTTTAATAAATAATGATATGATCTAATAAATGCATTAAATTGAGTAATTGTATTGAAGATGACATACATTTGTAGGTTATAGCATCAAAAATTGAACTGGAGGGGTATAGCAGTGCTCCAACTATATGAGAGAAATACATCTCCTCCCCACATATAAAGATATAAAAATATAATTTTCAAGTAGAAGTAGGCATGAATGTTGCTATCCAAGGCAAATAAGAAATTCAGAAAACGCATAAAAATAATAAGCAGCAAGCACTAATTATTTACTGATGAAGTACGTGCCTTGGTATGATTCAAGGACATACAAAGCAAGCCCGCATGACAATTTGTCCAGGAAACTCAATGAACCATAAACAAATCCACAGCCATTGACATCTTTCCCAACAAGCATGCTTTGCATGCTGATGCCTGTAACCTGTGTTCAAAGAAAAAATTAAACAAGCTGCTTCTTGCAACATGATGAATAAAATTAACTATGAAAATGAGCCTTAATATAAGGGAGAATAAAATAGTCAAAATTACAACTAAGCCTTCAAAATAATGCGTACATACTTGGTTGTATATAAAAAGCGACAATGAGGCGGTAGTATTTTCAGTTTTAAAGGCAGCAGTATAAAACAGCACATGGCATAAGTTCCATTGAGATTCAATTAAGAAGACCACAGCACAAATAAGACTATTAAGGTGTCATCAACTTGTGGTTCCCCGTTTGTCAAATAATAATAAAGTATAATCCCTTTTTTTTTTCTTAAGAAAAGAGGGATTGTCTAATATTATCTTAAAGATGCTCAAACTATCTGAAAGCAAAACAAAAATTTTTAGAACAAAGAGCAATGCCTATAGGTTTTTCCTGCACTTGAGAAGATCTGTCAAGTACCAAATTCACTAGCAGATAAATTTTATTGCTCAAAAATAACGAACAAGTTATCGATATAAAACATAGTATGGAGTAGCACCATACCATCATTAAAGCATTAGCAACGCCAATAATAATCGATAAAATATACATGGTGCTATGAAGACTGCTTGGAAGAACAAAAATTGCAGAGCCAGACAATATCCAAAGAACGGCTCCACTTGTAAAGGTGGCCTTAAGTCGTGAACTGTTCCAGCTGATCTCCTATAAGTAGGCATACATGCCATTGTCATTCAGAAAAATAAAGGATAAAGTTTGACAGCGTTCAGTTACCTGGAGAATCACTGATACAATAAAGCTGCTAATGTAGATAATGGCAGGTACCTGAATGGGTTATTTACAAATCAGACATATCATTCAATAATCTTAAATAAAAAAATGTCTCAAAATCTGTGTAATATTTGAATAAAATGTGCCAGACCAAACTTGCATACAAAGACTGAAACTCACAGTACAGATATTGATAAAACCGATGGACAAAGGAATAAGACAGCTACCCAACAGCTAGGGGCTCAGGAAAGCTAGCATGGAATGAATAGATCTCTTGAGAATCTAATCCTATGCAAAAAATGAAAGAGAAGTAGGAGCCATGCAACAGATGAAGATGGTGGGATTTTTCTATTTTGTGTGTGAGGGGTGTGGAAGGGATAAGGAAAGGTCATTACATGGTTTATGAAATGCAAAATGAGAAGGGGAGGGCATTGATATTGTATGGGAGTGTGCATGTTATCACGAAGATAAATGGTGCTAATAGTACAATTGTTAAACCTCAATGCATCTCATGTAGTTTTCATAATTCAAGGGAAGAACTGACCCTCATTTGTGCATACAGTGCATAATGTTGATATTATGTTGATATTAATGTCGATACCAATGTTGCAAAATTCTAAATATAAGCAAAACTGCCAAACCACGCAGGATGTCACAATCCTAACCTGAACTACAAAATTTTCATATTTCCAATCAGATAAAAAACTATGCCCTGTTTGAGATCACTTTTTGTTTTTTGTTTTTTACAGAAAACAAACCCAAAAATATTATTTGTTTATTCATGCTTTGTTTTTTTTTTCCAATTTTGTTTTTAAAACACATAATGCTTGTTTTCAAAACATCAAAATACAGAAATTGTGTTTTTGTTATTTTAAAAACATATTTTTTGGAGCATTATCTATGCAAGGCTTCGCCGCCCGCCCACCGCTACAGCTGCCACCCGCCTACTGCCGCAGCCATTGGTCCTCGCTCGCCATCCGCTTCCCGCAGCCCACCGCCAACTGCCCTAGCCTGTTGTCGGCCCCCACCAGCAGCCACCAAACACTCACCGGCGGGCGTGCGGGCTCGGAGGGCGCCCTCCGCTGCGGGCCACAGGCCGCTGCTGCCCTCCGCCGCAAGCCACTGCCAGCTGCAGTCACTGCCAGGCATCTGCCGCCTTCCTGCCCGCCGCCTACTCACAGGTAATACTTTGTGTCGGGTAGAGTAAGAAAGTCTTCGTATATGCAATGGGCGGCAGAGCTTAACATTGGAGTGCACATTGACCCAACCATTTTATAAAAAATATATTTTTTTCTTTATAAAAAAATAAAAGATACTCAATCAAATTTGTTTTATATTTTTTTTAAAAAAACATATAAATTATAATAATACCAAAAGTATTTAAAAAAAAAAAGAAAACAGAAAACAAAACAAAAATAAAATAAACTTAAAACAAAAACAAAAATAGAAAACAGAAATGATCCCAAACAGACGCCAAATAGATATAAATTAATAATTTTTTTTTACCGGAAATCACCAAACTACTATTAGGTTTAATGATTAACTCTTAAGAACGAGAGAATAACAAAAAGAAGAGGAAGACAGAAATGAGAAACAAATAGAGTTGATAAACATCTAGACTCTTCCAACCTTGCCTCATCCGGTAACTTCAACAATATAAATATATAATTATAAAAAATTTTGGGAAGCAATTTAGAGCACATTGAACTCCATTATATCATGAAGTGGGATGGTTATAAACATTTTTTATTCAATATTATTTAGATTTTGCTTGATCATATTCCACTTTGCAGGGAAAAATGAAAAAAAAAATCTGAATAAACAATGCTAAATTGCTAGTATAGGCCAGCCTTTCCCTTTTGGTTCTTGTTCTATAATAGATGTCTATAAGCTGAGTTCTCAATTAAGTTATGAATAAGTTTTAAAAAGTAAAGTAGATGTTGTCAGCCAAACCAAGTACGTATAACACAGATTGAAGAAATTACCAAAGCTTTTGCGGATTGAGGCATTCCCAAATCGTTGATAACAAAGAATGCAAGTAGTGCCTGGTCAACGAAAATACATATCGTCAGATCTCGCAATGCTTTCTCCTACTTTATATTTATCTAAAGATAGGCTTCAATTAATACACACCCGTCAACCAAAAGAATTATCATTAATAGCTCATAGCAATAAAACTAAAAATAAAAAGTCCATTCCATAATAATTTTCCTAGACTAAATAAGCAAATAAAACTCCACTCCCACATTCATTTTCCCAACACCTCAAAAAAGATTTTTTTTTTTCAAATGTTACATGCTGTCTTATATTTGAAGTTACCAGGCATATCCTCATGACTTGAAGAGCGATTACGACAGAAAAAGGTATAAGCTTTGGCAAACAGCTATTGTCCACTCATAATTGGCAAGAACAGTTTGAATTCATATCAACTATTGGTAAGAATGAAATATTCCAAAGTTGGTCTACTTTTCAAACAATCAGAGATCCTTTTTTAATTAAGTGAGCACTCTATGAAGCAATAAATTTTTAAATAAGAGCCACCAAAAGTGTAAGAAAAATTGCGGAATAATAATTTTCTAGAACCATTTCATAAAGCGGCCTTAATAGTTCCACCTCATTCATAACAAAATTTTGGTGGACTAATCTTTAAGACATTTGCTGCCACTCTCATGAGGACATAAGAAGATTTTTATACTAAATTCATAATTTAAAGTTAACAACACTTTCTAAGAAAATGATTATGGGCTCAACCTGTGAGACATTAGTTACTAATCTTATAAGAACATATACGATAGCAACTTGATAGTAAAGAGCCTTCTTGAACCAGAAATTCCAGGATATTTTAGAAAAACTTTCACATTCTCTTCGCTGCTTCAGCCTACAAAATAGAAGGTAAGAAAATAAAATTTGACTACTCCTAGAAGATGCTTAAGCAAAAGTCAATCTACCAAGAAAAAAAAATCATTAGATTAATGTTCCACCTAATCATCCCATTAAGCTTATAGGATTTTGAACAAAATAGCGCCTTAAAACAGCACTTACGTTGGCTCTTTGGTTGCAACGAGAAAAACAACGACAAAACAGCAACCCATGAAAATTGACAAGTAGGCTATCCAGCGATACTACAAACCAAAATGAAACGTGATTAAATGAGTAACACACCACAGAATAGCATGTTCTTATCTGGAAAACAAAGATACCTCAGATTTGATGTCGGCATATGCTTTAGCATCATACATATTAAAAACTGCTAAAGCAACAGCATATAAGCTGAGATTGGCAACCTACACAAAAAAAAAATTTAGAAAAAAAAATTCCAAGTATGAAGAGGGAGATATTTCTAATTCATTGAAGGAAAGATTACATCACCATGGTGAAAGCATTACGACAGCTAGTGAGGGAAACTCTAGTTGTTTGATTCAATGTAATGCAATTCACCATTGACCTGAAGCAGAACAACAATAACCATAGTTACTGAGAACTTGATTGTAAGTCAGCGGATTACAAATACCAAAAATGCAATATTGGCAGAGTTGAACATACATGTGTGAAACTTGGGTAACCGCCCAGCCCACATTAAAAATTGAAGCAAATAAGCTATAACCAATAGTTTGTAATGTGAACGAATTATTCCCAATAATTTTGCAAGGAAGACAGCCACCAAAAACAGAAGAGAATGAAATTGCAACCAGAATTGATCCCCCGCCATGCCATAGCTTGAAATGTCCAAATCGGTCAATCTAACAAAAAAAAGGGAATTAGTATGAACAAGCAAAAGTAGTTAACTGCTTAAGTGATCCATGCCAGCCCAAGACCAAGAATTCAATTCATAGTATTTTAAAGGCGATCTACATTATCATCATGGTATCACTGTTCTTTTACCAGAATCAGAATTTTAAGAAAAACAACAAAAATAAGAAAAGCTATTGTATGAATGAGTTGCAATGAGCAATCAAGTGCTGACATGTGTAATCATAAAAAAAAACATCAGCTAAACCCTCAAATATGAAAAACCTTGCCTCAACATTACTCATGCGTTTAATTTGTACCTTAAAATAACATAAATTTGATAGGTGCAGAAGAAGTAACTGCCTTATTTTAAATGTTTGGCTATGAATACTTCCTCATTCCAGCTAATTCAGAGTGCATCCGCTGACAAAATTAGTGTAACTAAGCATTTGTAAACCTCAAAGAAAATTGGAATTGGCCAACCCCATTCCTGCCAAGCTCTTTGACATTAATCTTGCCCCCAACTTGCTAGCAAACGGTAGACACATCCAAAATTTAGAATAATATCTATTGTTCATCGAGCATAAGGATCAAACCTATAATCCAAAAATATTGGCAAAAGGAACAACAACTCAACATATGAATCCAGAGTAATATCCACAGTATAAGAGCCCCAAAGGGGGTTAAGCCAAAGGGAGCATCACCCAATAAGCGGGTGAGCTCAAATTGATCATCAGCATTTACAACATTAGAATCCCTAGAACCAGGGACAACGGGGGCAGTAGGCGTCCAACCGGAGCGGTAGAGAGCACGTCCCGAAGCCCAAGTAGCAATCGGATAAAATTACCGAACGCAGTGCAGAGGCAAAAGGGACGAAGCACGTGAAGGACGGTGCGATCTGCTAGCAACGGCAAGCGAGAACAGTGAGCACGAACAGCTACTAGAAACTTGCAAAGCCAGACCATAACGAACACAACAATCCGCTGTGCAGCGGCACAAAGGTGCGGGGTAAATCCGTAACGGTCGCCTTGGGAGCGCTAGAAGAGAGGATTTCACGCATGGCGCGAGAAGACGACTCCTCATCGCGCAGAACTAGACCGCGACGAGCTGAATTCGATAAGAACATGGGCACTCACGTGAGGCATTTACAAAAAATGCTTCCTTTTTACACGCTCAAAAAAATGGGGCTTTGAATCAGAAACCAACAACAATCCAGTCAAGGCCAATTTGAAAGCACAACAGCAGCAAATGATAAACGCTAAATCAAGAATTGAATCAACAAAGAACCAGAGGACGAATCCAAACTAAATCAGCACGGGCAACTCAGCCAAATAGTAAGGGGGTGTTTGGCTGCAGAAAGGATTTTGGAGTTGGGATTTAATAAATCAGAATTTAGGCAGTGTTTGACAGCATGCTATTAATGGATTTAGCCACCGGATGTAACTTAAATCCTGCCAAATATAAAAAAAAATAAAACTTAAATCCATCAAATCAATTTTTTTTCGTGTTTTGTCTATTTTTTTCCTCTTTCCATCTTCTTTAGAACATAAATCCTGATTTAACAAATCTGATTGCAAGTCGGATTAAAGGAATTACACTGCCGTTTGCTCGAGCACCATTTCCTTTGTTGAGATTCATATGATGTATTGGATTTAGTAAATCTTATTTAACATAAATCTTGTTGCCGCCAAACACCGCCTTGTTAAATCTATCCCTTGCTGGATTTATTAAATCTGGATTTAATATGAATCGAAGGCAAAATTTGGACCTTAGATCCAAAATTTCATAAATTCATAAAATTTGTGTTTTTTAATGTTTGGCTGAATTTAATAAATCAAATAGATAAATCGGATTAAAAGACCGCTACCAAACAACCAAAGTAATAAGAACAGAGATTATGAGAAGCATTAAAGTGCATATAAACTATCCTAGCAGGAAACATCCTATGTATGATTAAAATTACCAAAACTAAAACTACAATTTTCTAAAAAAAATATTGACACAAATTAACAAAAGTAAAATCAAAATTCTGGATGTCAGTTCTACTCAACATCCCATACAGTCGGCATTACGCCCTCCAAGAATAAAAACATGAAAACGTGTATTTACGCAAATTCATTGAGTTTTTGCAAGCTTTTCAATGCAAGAGGAACCATATAGACCGGTAAATTTCTTAAGACGGGATTAAGCAGAATTTGTAGGCTCCAAATTTGTATTGTGTTCTCATCAAACGTAATAATGTATCAAGAGTCCATGAATGTTACACCAAATTCTCCAAAGTTGATTAAGCAGTTTCTCGACGACTCTCGAAAGCCTAATTCCTCATACCATAAAAATACAATCCTTCCACCATTAGTGTCTAGTAACATTTGACATCTACGAGGATCTCTAAAATTTTTTGTCTCTATTTGACTGAATTCTTCAAATTGATTATGTTATGTTTAGTAATTAGCTATTTTTCAAACTAATAAAGTACTTCCTGTCATAAAAACACAAATTGAGCTCAATGATGAATGCCCTCTCTCCCTCCATAGGGCTCCTCCTCCCGTCAGAAAAACACATTGAAACAAATGATGTCTACCCCGTTAATGGTTTATTTATCAGAATCAACAAGTTAAGATCAGCACATGAATGGGATAAAAATAAATTTGATCATATACTAAAGCTTTGGATACTAAAAAGTGAATTCATATTATGATCCATGCCATGCATAAATAATATCTGAGGAGAGAGATTTTACCAACACTCCAGCAAATATAGTTGTGAATGCATCAGCCACCTGACCTGAAAGCATTACAATGGCTGCATCCCTGCAAAAAAAAGTAGCATTCAAAACATTTTAAATGATAACTACTAAAACATTCCATGGGTGAGGATGGTGCCACAGGAAAGTGTAACATGGTTCTTAGATATTACATTTTTATCTGAATCAGTCATTGAAAAAATTCCTTGCATATTTCCTAGTTAAGAAAAGAGTGTAAAGTGTATTAGAAGAATCAAACGGTACAGTGTTGCCAAAGAGGTAATGCATTTCATCTCCAATAAACATGCGACGTTTTGGGATGGGAAGTGTTGAGCATAGATTACGCCCTCATATATGTTGGTAAATTGTATCTTTTTTCTGCAGAATTTTAAGGTAAATTGATTTGAGATTGTTCGTAGGCTCGCAAGTTTATACAAAAATAGGCGGAAATGCATATGACGTATCTTTCGAGCTTTCATATGGATGTTTTATTTAAAGTGAATGTGTAAATCAGCCACTTCCACTTTGCAAACATTTTTACCAGCAATGCACTTCCTTACAGGGCACTTGGTATCTGTCAAGTAACTTCAAAAACGGGTAAAGTGCCAAAAGAGCCCCTTGACTGTATACATGGAGCCGTTTTAATCCTAGAGTCTACAAAAATACCAAATTAGTCCCCATGGCCTTTAAATTGGGGCTGAAAGGATTATTTCAGCACATTTTAAAGGAGTCTGAGAACTAAATTAGCATTTGATAGACTATAGGACTAAAATAATCCCTTGCAAAGAGTCAAGAGACTATTTTAACACTATTCTCTTTTAAAAAGCTTCGACTTACATTACAAATATTGAATTACCAAATTGGAACTCTCTAGCTTATTGGCCCATGTAATTTTGATGAATCCAAACTCTTCATGTATATTGAAACTAATTGTTCTAAAGAAAGTAGCAGGTGTAAATCAAGAAGCCTATGAACTCAAGCAAAGATAATGAGAGGAATCTTGGCTATATTCAAGATCAGGAAGAGGTAAAGAAAGGCCATTAATCCTCTATGGAGATGTAATTGAATCAAGGTTGAGCTTCAAATTGTAATAAACCACAAAGTCTTGAGTTCAAATGCTGGGGACAAATTAGTTTTAAGAGCCATGACATAAGAAAGAATGAATTACTGTTTAATGGCTCAAGATTTTGGTTCAAAAAGTCAGCGGTTTTGAAGAAGAATAACAATCATTGCCCCCCATAGTTACTAGTAAAAAATAAGAAAGACTTCTGTAGGACTTTTATATGTTTCGGTTGAGACCTTAATAACCTAACTAAGAAAAAAATCACATAAATAATCAGATTCAAAACTGGCCGTGGAATGGTCTGCAGCAACCCTGACTCCCTGATTTTATGGAGAGAAGGCTGGAACAAAAGGAAGCATACAGAAGGTATCCACTAGGAGATAGAATATAAACATAGACCAATATATACTTAAGACATTTAGGTAAAGAATACGATGCAGAATTTAAAACAGAAATGTGAAAAAAGAGTTTTTTATAAAGCGCATATGATGGCTTGTTTACACTACCAAGCATGGACAAAACTATTAAGACAGTATTTGGTACTTCAAAATTGCAATTTTAGAGCAATTAGTTGAGCTATTTAATTATTCTTCAGTAAAACCTATTAAATAAAGAAATAGATAAGGATAAATTTACTGCAAAATTGCAATTTTTATGTGCTTAAGACAAACATAATTAAAGAACTAATTGCCCGTTAAAAAGTAAACTTTTCTTTACTTCCATATAATGAAGAAAAAGGCAAAACGATTAGCACCAAGATGAAAGCAGAAGGCTGATTACCACCATATAATTCTTAAAATCACATTATTATAATGCAAAAAGAGAAATCTGCACCTTGGACTTAGTCCTAAGTCAGTCAAGAACAATAAAAGATATGTAAACCAACAGGCCGACGTGATGTCATTTAACATATGGCCAGCACCATATCCAAGTATCGCTAGTCGTCCAAGAGGCTCAGCATGTTCTGCTCTGGCAGATACCTCATCATGTTTTGCATCAACCATAATGGCCATAGGTCCAAAGCAAAAACAAAATTGTCTGAACTCTCTAATAATTTATTTGCTATCTGTAATCAAAAGACCATGCAAATACCAAAATCATTAGATAGAAAACTAAGATAATGAAATTTAGATGACAAGAATAATTGACACAGCCGTTGCTACCAATTCTACTCGAAATCACATAAAAAACCAATTCCAATTCAAACAAACTTTCAATTTGAGGTTTGATGATTTCCATGAATGGTTACCCGACTTAATCGCATAAGCTTACTGTCTCAACAAGCAAATGTATTTTTTTTTTACCTGCAAAAGGGTTTTGATCAATGTTATACCTCTTAAATGGATAACTTTAAGAACTATAACAAAAGAAAGTTTCAGCTTGGCATCCAAAAAGCTATACAGGAAGTGGATGGATAGTAAGATTAAATAGAGATATATCAGTCTTGTGGAGCCCAAGCACCAAGGGAAGACCGAGAACCCAATTCCTAAGTGCCGGGCTTAGGCGCAGAAGCGCCCACCATGAGGGTGCCGCTTCTGAAAGAGGCACCTTTGCGCCCCCTATGGGCCCTTTGCCCCCATGTTTAGGCGCTCAACAAAGAAAGGGGCACATTTGTGCCCCCCTTGGGCACCCAGTGCCCAACTATCTTGGGCATTATTTTGCTTCCCAAGAGACGGACGTTTTTGCTCCTGGAGCAGTTGGTACGCAAACTTTCTGGTTTTAAGCCAATTTCAAGTGGCATGTCTTTTAGACTTCTTCGAGTGTTCTTTAACAAGTTCCTGGTGAAGGAGAAAAGAGTTGAAGAGGAGGATTTCTAGGATCTAGACTTGTGTTGTTCGCGTCGAATTAGAAAAGGAAGATTGTGAAGCGCCTGTAAGGTTTTCTTCATGTGAGTGTGGAGAAGAAATTTGTGAGTCATTTGTAAAACTGTCTGATTTTCATAGTGAATTTGTAGTGGTGTGACTTCGTGGTTTTTTCCCTTTCTCGGATTTTCCACGTAAAATTCTCGTGTGTTTTTCTGGTTATTTTGATTTTGCTTCTATGCTTAAATTTATTGTTCTGATTTTCTCGAATCACGTGATCCTATTCCGCGGTGAAAGTAGTAGGAGATTCTTTTGGAGCAGTTTCTCCCAACAAACTGATATCAGACCGGGGTTCGATTCGAGTGGGAGCAATGACCGAAGAAATAAGGTTCAAGGTGGAGAAATTTAATGGGACGAACTTCGCTTTCTGCAAGATGCAAGAGGAGAATTTGCTGTATCAGAAAAAACTATACTTGTCACTGGGCAAGATGTACGAATAATTTTCTGCTTCTAATAAAAATTTTTTTATAAAGAAATTATTCAACATGAAGATGGTGGAAGGCAGTTCAGTGGTAGAGCATCTCAATAACTTCAACACTGTAACGAGTCAGTTGTGTTCAGTGGGGACCAAGTTTGATGATAAGATTAGAGCACTAGTGATACTGTCTTCATTGTCGGGCAATTGGGATGGTTTGGTGACGGTGATGAGTAATTTTTCGGGGACTTCGAAGTTGAACTTTGATAATATCATGAGTCTAATGCTGAATGAAGTTTGCAGAAAAACAGCGAATGGTGAATCTTCAGGTTCTTTATCGAATATTGATAACAGGGTAAGGAATTTGGGCAGAAATATAGCTAGAGACTGATCCAAGTCCAAGAAAGGAAAGCTCAAATCAAGTAGAGGATAATGCCAGAACTACGGTAAGAAAGGGCATTTAAAAAAAGACTACAAAGCTCCAAGGAAAGCTGGTGATGAAAGACATGATAGTAGTTTCTCTACTAATGTCTCCACTTGTGAAATTCAAAATCACTCCCTGGTATTATCCCTAGTCAATATTGAATCTTGGATAGTGGATTCAGGTATCTTTTTTAATGTTTGCCCTAATAAAGAGGTATTTAAAAATTATACTCAAAGTGATCTACGGAAGATTTATTTGGGAGATAACAAGGCTTACATTATAGTAGGAAAGAGTGATATCAAATTGTCGAATGAAGCAGTTTGGAAGCTTACTGAAGTGAGACATATTTCTAGTTTGAAGAGAAATCTCATCTCTGTGAGTCAGCTCACAACGTCGGGACTTGTGACTACTTTACAAGTGATTCGTGGAACGTGACCGGGGGGCATTAGTATGGCTTGGGTTAACGTTGAAGGCACCCTTTATTTGATCAATGAAATGATTGATTTCATTGATGTGGCTGGAAACATAGTGGATGCAGGTCCGTGGCACCGTAGGTTTGACCATATGAGCGAGAAAGGTATAAATTCCCTACTTTCTAAAAATAAGCTTCAAGGTTTGAAATCAGTTCATTTAGATTTCTGTGGAGATAGTATATATATCAAGCAGAAGAAAATTTCTTTCTCAAAGAGCGTGTCGGTGTTGAAGTTAAAGAAACTGGAGTTAGTGCATTATGACGTATAGGGTCCTACTCCAGTTCAATCCGTTAGAGGTTATCACTATTTTGGCACATTCAGTAATGATAACATGAGAAAGATATGGGTTTATTTCTTAAAATAAAAATCTGATGTATTTAAAGTATTTAAGAAGTGAAAGGCTATGATAGAAAATGAGACAGACTTGAAACGAAGTGTCTCAGATCAGATAATGGAGGTGAGTACCGTGATCAGAAGTTTAGGCATGAGTTCACTGTCCCAAGAACACCGCAGTAGAATGATGTAGCTGGGCGCATTAATAGAACAATCACATAGCGTGCTAGGAGTATGAGGTACCATGCAAGCTTGCTGAAACTGTTTTGTGTTGAAGCAATTAACACAACAGTTTATTTGATTAATTATAGTACGTTAATACCTTTGGAGGAAGGCTTACCTGAAGAAGTCTGAAATGAGAAAAATGTACGTCTATCTCATCTAAGAGTATTTGGGTGTTTTGCATATGTGCATGTTAATGCAGGTTCTAGAGCAAGCTTAACTCAAAATCTGTCAAGTGCACCTTCATTGGATATAGCTCAGAAGAGTTTGGGTACTTGTTCTAGGATTGCCAAAATTATAAATTCATCATGAGCAGAGATGTCACTTTCAACGAAATAGAGATGTACAAGGATAGAGTCAGAACTCAGGACAGTCCGTCAGCTACTTCTGAAGAATCCAGATATGTAGAGATAGATGATAATGATGATAAAGAGAATGGAGAAATAAGTGTTTAACCAAAAGGAACCTTGTAAGTTCCTTAAACACCTGCTACGGAAGTCAAGAGATCCAATAAAGTGAAACAATCCATACTCTACACTATTTGTTACTACTTGATAATAGTGAACCAAAGTGCTTTGAGGATGCCACTCAAGTTGAAGATTCAAAGGAGTGGGAGATTGTCATGAATTAAGAAATGAAATCTTTGGAGTCAAATCATACTTGGAATTTGACGATACTACCAAATGACAAAAGAGCATTGCACAACTAGTGGTTCTACAGGCTCAAAGAGGAGTCAAATGGTAGTAAGCGCTATAAGGCAAAACTTGTTGTGAAGGATTTTCAGAAGAGAAAATGAATGGTTTATATAAAGATCTTCGCCCCAGTAGTGAAGATGACGACTGTAAGGGTTATGCTGAGTCTGGTAGTAGTTGAAGATCTACATCTGGAGCAGATGGATGTAAAAACAGCTTTCTTACGTGGAGATCTGGAGGAAGAATTGTACATGGCACAACCACAGGGTTACAAGGTTCTAGGTAAAATAGATTTGGTTTGCAAATTGAAAAAGAGTCTCTATGGGAGAGACAGTGGTACAGAAGGTTGGACAGGTTTATGTCAGAAAATGGGTACTTCAAGTGTCAGTCAGACCATAGTTGTTTCATCAAACACTTTGGTAAATGTTATATTTTACTTCTTTTATATGTAGATGACATACTGATTGCAGGGGCAAATATGGAGAAAATCAAAGACTTAAAGAATCAATTATCAAGTGAGTTCGAGACCAAAGATTTGGGTCCAATTAGAAAGATCCTCGAAATGAGAATCAACAGGGAGAAGAGTACAAGAACACTGAAGTTGTCTCAGACAGAGTAAGTTGAAAAGACTGTATAGAAGTTCAACATGAGCGAGGCGAAACCAGTTAGCACTCTCTTAGATACTCTTAGATAGTAACTTCAAACTAGTAACTTCAAACTGTCTAATGAGTTATCACCTAACTCAGAAGCAGAGAAAGCATAAATGGAGAGAACTTTGATGCTTAAGCAGCTGAAAGATTGATGTATGTGATGATTTGTACCATGTCAGATACTGCATATGCAATGGTGTGGTCAGCAGATACATGGGCAATCCAAGCAAGCATCATTGAGAGACGGTAAAGTGGATTCTCAGGTATTTAAGAGGAACAGTCAATAAGGCACCTTGCTATGGAAGTGCAGGGATCAGTGTATAGGGATTCGTACATTCATATCTGGTAGAAGATGTGGACAGTAGGAAAAGTACAATGGGATATATCTTCACATTGGGGAACACAATGGTGAGTTGGGTTTTCAGGTTGCAGAAGATTGTTTGACTTACAAATACAAATATGTTGTTATTACTGATGCTAGTAAGGAGATAATTTGGCTACAAAGTTTCATGGTGGAATTGGGCAAGGAGCAGAGGATTGGAAAGCTCCACAGTGACAGTATGAGTGCAATTCATCTTGTTAAGAACACTACTTTTCATGTTAAGACAAAACACATTTAGTTGAGGCATCATTTCATTTGATCTCTTTTTGAAGATGGACAGTTGTTCATGGAGAAGATACACAGCTTAGAATCTTGTGGATATGTTGACGAAGGTGGTGACTATTGAGAAAAAGAAGTTGTGTTTGACTTCAATTGGGTTTCATGAAGGTTGAGACCGAGGGTGAGACACACCACGGTATAAGATCACGGTACGTGACTATGAAGGTGATTCAGATAGTGGTGCAGGTACAAAGGATTAGTGTTGGATGTTATTGTCTCCAAATGGGAGATTATTAGTCTTGTAGAGCCCGGGGAAGACCGAGAACCCGATGCCTAAGCACTGGGCTTGGGCTCTCAAGCGCCCACCATGTTGGCGCTCCTTCTGAAGAGGGTGCCTTTGCGCCCATGTTTAGGGGCTCGACAAAGAAGGGGATGCCTTTATGCCCCTCTTGGCGCCCAAGCGCCCAACTATGTTGGGTGCAGTTTTGCTTCTAAGCTTAAATTTATTATGTCGATTTTCTCGAAACTTGTGATCCTATTTTACAGTGAAACTAGAAAGAGATTGTTTCAAAGTAGTTTCCCCCAACAAGATAATGATTAAAGGACAAGAATTAATGCCTTCAAATAAGTTTCCCTTTCATGTGGCAATGTTATCAAGTTTAGTTTCCACAAAATTTACAAACAAAATTACACCATTAATTGGGATGATAAAATCAAAAAGAAATTTTATTGAAGGTCCATGGCATAGAGAAATCAAAAAGAAAGAATTTTAGATGGTGAAGCGCATAAGTTTCAAGTTTACAACACATAGTATCCATATTTCCCTTCAAAGATCATCCATGAAGCTTGAAATATCATTTGCTTCCCAACTCTTTGAAGTTTTGAGGCATTGGACAATCAATCATAATTTTGAAATCGTCCACATTTTCTCTCTCTCATCTTATCAGTTCTTCATTTATCTCTCATAAACCCAAGGGCATTTCCATCTCCCACAGCATAATGCCTCCCCTCACTCCCCATTCGACAAAGGCTTATTGTAACTACACCCCCAAATCTCACTTGCTAAGTCTTAACTCGCTCCTTCCTCCGCTTTGTCACCACCCCTCCTCCCAATGCTTTGATGATAGAGATAGAGCATGCACTGGCTTGGCTTCCTCATCCAACTCACAAATCACCCTCCACAATATCAGCAACTCCTCCATACTCCACTAATCCGTAGAACAATTGGTTTTTCAATGGCTCTAATCCTCTTCAATTCCTTACTAAGAATATTTATTATACCCTTGCTTACTCCAGGAATAGCCCCACCCAAAAAACACTCTTATTTCCTTCTTCACATACATGAAAACTCGCAAACTACTATTGCACACCATAGCACGAATAAAACCCTCCCCAAAGCACATTCATCATTAAAAAACTCTATCATTTAATCTAAATATTTAATTGAAGAAACTATCAACGAAGCTCTCTCTAGCACTTCATCTATAATGCCCTACAACAGTTCTACCACCATCATCGTATTATCCATGCTCTCAAATGTGCACTCCTCTACTTTGCCAAAAAAGTCATAAAAATAACGTGTGAATCTCTAATGAGATAGTGAACTTAATAGTAGAAAGTAAGCAATATTGGCATATTAAGCCCTTAGTGAAACACAAACCACAGAAACCCCAAATTTGAAAAGAAAGTATGTTGGCGACAATGGCAAGAGCTGAACTTTCATAAAATTCTAGATGATTTGCATAAGTAAAACCATTGGCAATGATTAACACTTAATCCAAGTATGGAGTACTTGAACACGCAGCGCATTGGTAAGAAAAAAAGTTAAAAAAAAATCCTCAGATGCTGGTTCAAAAGATCACCTTGCCCAAAAACAAAACCTGTGTATGGAACTTCCCAAATTTCATGGATTGCTTCATACCAATTCATGTTCCATAATGTCTTTTTTTTATGATCCCAATTTATAATTTCATTTAGATATAACCTAGAATATACAAAATATATTTTGTTTCGCCAAATATTTCCAACAAACTCTAATACCATTTTCCATTTCGATATTCTTTCTTCAAAATAGAAACCTTGTTAAAGGCTTCTTTAATAAGAAAATAGCTACCTCTTATAATCAATAAATCAGTATGGGCTATTGGCAAACGTAGGACCACCGAAACCCTAAATGAGATCCATGACTCAACCCAGCAGTCAGAAAATAGCCAATAAAGCCAGCTGCTGAAGGTAAAGCTAAATCGAACAAAAACATAAACTTTCTTCTCCACAACATAGCCCCATATAGAAACTGGCACAACACTATTACTAAATCAAGCATAAATCCAATCAGGCATGGCAAAACATCAAAACAAAGCGCAGCCTCAAACCCCCCAAAACTGGCATTCCACTAAATACAGTGAATCGTGTGAAGAACATCAATAAAACCCCAACAAAAAACGTACCGGGAGATCCACAATTGATGCAAGCAAACGAGTAAGCTGGTTCTTGAAAAAGAACTCCTGGATCTTGCCTGCTTCAGAAAATCAAGAATCAAAATAAACATGAGCAGACTTCCGTCTCAGTTGGTGACAGTGAAGGCCTCAACGCAACCGATCGAACACATTGGATTCGAAAAGGTAACTAGCTCCGATCTTATAGGCGAGATGGAAGAGGGAAAAGGAAACCATTTCTGCAGCCTGTAAAGACGCTTCCGTGGACGCGTGCTGAAAAAGACTGCCGCCAGACGCAAACGAAGCAGATCGTTTGATTCAGTTATAATGGCTGCAGAATTTAGCACGTGCACCCGGAATTCTATGCTTATTACAAATTAATCCAGATTTGAAAAAATTAGGATCGTAACTCTTTCTTAAATTGAATGATGAACTGAAGAATATCTATATGAAGATGATAAAAATAAATAATTAATTAATTCTTAATAATTACTATACACTATATTAGTAATGAAAATAAATGTTTATGATAACGTTATATATGCCATTTAATATTAATAATGAATAATGTAATTAATTCTAAAATTTTCTATTATTAGCAATTATCAGTCATTTGATTGTTTAAAATTGAAAAAATAAATGAATAATAATTTTGTTAAACTTTGGCTTCATTTGGGGCCGTATTTTTTAAGCGTCGCAGCCCCAAACAGCGAAGTTTTTTTGTTTTTTTTCGTGTGCTTTCCTTCAGCGGCAGCGGCCACTTGCCGCTAAATAGGAAGAAAGAGAGCCGCAGGATCGACCCCGCGGCCTGGCGTTGTCGAGCGTCAATACCTCCTTTGTCCCGCTCGAAAGCCCCGCTCGAAAGCTGCCCTAACCTGTATTCGGGAAACCGCCGCTCCTTCCTTGTCACGAAGCACCTGCTCGCTGCTCCCTTGTCAACGTGGTAGTACTTTTGAGTTGAAATTGGCATGTTGTTAAGCTATGAACTATAACCAAACGTTGGGAAAATGTTTAGTTGTTAGAAATATGAGAGAAAATTATAATTTGTAGATTTTCAGTATCTTAAGTATTGAATTAATTAAATTTTCTTTCTGATAAGCCTCATGTATATATTTTGATTGGTTAGTAGACCTAATTGGAGAAATAATTATTTTTTATATATATAATTATTTGGTGCTACTTTATCATGCTCTCGATTCATGAAAATAAGTTAGGTTTCGACATTGACCTCAACGGTAACTGGAAAAGACCATATTGATCGACTAATCAGCCTTTGCCTATAAGCTCACATAAATTGAATTACATAGGAAAATTGAAAATAAAACTCATGAAGGTAAAATTTTGTGATTAAGTATTTAATATATACTCTAAAATATTGTACATTTTTATCTTCTCGCCTTATTTCAAACACTCACCATCTGACCTCGGGAGTTGTTGTGATAAGGAACACCCAAATACATTAGTGTTTTCATGGAGGAAGATGCTTGACAATAGCTAGCGATTACACAAATATTGAAGTTTGAATGTTGAACGATGGTCCTAATGCAATAGGATGAGAAGAAGTCACGAGTTGAATAGTTCTCTCGTGCATTTTTTCTATTCTCACTCTCTTCTTCTTCTTCGCAAAATTTTTAATCTTCTTATGTTCACCGTAAAGAGAACCTCACACATTCTTTTTCACAATGCTAATATGATCTACCATAATATCTTCCATAGACTGCAAATATCACAATGAATAAGGAGAATGAAGAGAGGAAAAGAAGGTTTTCAAGAGGAAGTATATCATCCTCTTTATTATTTATTTATAAAGGATAATTATAAAGACACTATCACTACTTGACCCAGGAGTTTAACTGATAATAGAATTTAACAATTATCTCAAAATCTGACAATAAAGAGAAAGTCACTAAATACATTTGAACATGCACAAATTGAACATTTGAGTGTAGATGAAATTTTTAGGATATTAATTAGAATTGTTGGAAGATATTTGAATCTTTATAGTTATTAAAGCACTTAAAATGGTGAAAAATTGGTTTATGATAAAAAAATAAGTTGGTTTATGATATTAATTATTAGTATTTCTAAGCAGTACCATAAAAAGATGATCTACTTCAAATGTGTATAAGCTAGCCTTCTATTGAACTCATATCATTCATATATTATTCAATTTAGTATTATATATATATATATATATATATATAATTTAAATAATGTATAATTATTACTACTATTGAAAAGCATATAACATTGATAATGTTTGACTAATATGTATAAGAAGATATAAATCAATATCAAATTAAGCAAGTGAATTTAACATAGAATATTATTAAAAGTTAAAGTGAGAGTGCTCAACTCAAATGTTTTCCGTCTGAGCTAAGCTTGGGCTTTTTTCATTAGATCACTTTGGTTGAGGCACATACTATCCTTAATCCATACCTTTTCACATGTACATATTTTTGCACTTTATAGCAAGCTGAAAATCAATCTCTACTCACCTGACTTTCTATACTAATGCACAATATTCATCAATCTCCAACGATAGCAATGCTGCTTAATTGAATCCTTTAATCCAGAAAATAACCTATAACGCTTCTTTTTTGTAGTAGATATAAACTATGTTGCATGATTTGATAGTGTAGTGAACTCTATTTTATAATGCACAGTTGTCTTCTCTCACTATACCAACCTGATGAACTTGTCCTATTCCTATATTTGAGTAGATAGAGGCACAAATCACTCTGTAAAAAACTAAATAAAATTATCTCAATTAATCATTATGTTTGCAAGATTCATATAACGTCTTTGTGCTACCCACGCCACCACCATTCTGTTTCTTCATCCAAAACAAATGTAGATAATGGTACTCTCCATTCATTTGGATATCTTATGTTGTCTAGTATCTTTTATAGCACTCTACTTCAATTGGACCTTCAATTCCCTTGAAAAACCATATATCTTCAAACACCTTTTAATTACTTATCCATAACATTGATATTACTTTCACTTGACCGTGATATGGAATCATGAATTAGTTGTGTTATCATCGCCATATATGGGTCAGAGTTCTAGTGTTTACAATGATATTAGATTGTGATTCTTCATTCCTACTGTATTTTCGTCTCCCACATTCTCGAGTGAATCTACTTTCCTGAATTAATAATCAACCAATTATAATTAACTTAAAATTTTAAATTTTCTTATTATTAATTTTTGTAGTTATCCTACAAGTTTTTCGTTCAAGATTTATATTGATTCATCTTAAAAATTATTCTCCATTACCACTTTGAAAACGACCTAAAATAAATTTGGATCATTTCTCAATTTATTTATATGATTCTTATACAAGGATCATGTTGATCTTCTTTGTATCGTTCAAAGTTATTATTAAATTAAATGTTAAGTTGATTGATATTATTATTATTATTATTATTATTATTATTATTATTATTATTATTATTATTATTATTATTATTATTATTATTATTATTGTTATTATTATTATTTTATTATTATTTTATTTCATAGATTTAATGTGAAAGAAAAATAGAGAAAAAAATATATAGCGAAAAACCTCATGACAAAGTTGAAAGTATGGGCCAAATTTAAGAATGTGACTGGATCAAGACTATCAACATATTCAAAAGAAGTGCATTGTGAAAATTGAATTTGATCAAATTTTCTATGATTATTCAGCAAATTGGCTCTAATCAGGTCATTCAGATGATACAACATGTATCAATTAAAGTTAGCTTGTTTGGCTAAAGTACTTCACCTAGTCAGCTTGGCAAGCTAACAGGATAAATCAAGGCGACTATCAATTTGTTTAACTATTAGGCATCAATATATTATTTAAAATGTGTTACACACCTTGTTGCGTTATTATTACTATTTCAATAAATTTTTGTTTCTGTATGCTATTTATGTAAAAATTTGTGGTTGTCTACCCAAACTTATAAATAGGAAAGCCCAAACAAGATGTGCGAGATCTTCTTCTTTTTAGATGGATTTTTTTAACTGAACTTTAGAGAGTTGTACTAAAATTTTATTTTTGATATTTATACTTGATACACCATTAACAAATTTTTGTCATTTGACATGAATCTCAAGGTAATTTTTGAGCAATAAACGTTAAAAGCCCAATTAAAAATCATCAAGAATTCTAATTTCAACAAACTTATAGTTAGACTGACCGGATCATCGAGATGAACCCAATGAAATTGAAATTGACCATTTTAAGTCAAATCAGGCTCAAATCAAGTCATTAAGCCGCATTTGGTGGATAATTGGAAGGTTAAATAGATTTTAAATCTCATAAGATTATAGTCAAATTGAGTGTCTTGATGAGACAAATCCAATAATCCCAAGATCACTGAATTCTGACATGTTAAGCCACTCAAATATTCATAAAACAACATCTGATTGAGGGAATATTTTGAGTCTGTTTGATGTGGTACTTTGAATTCCATTCTTATTTGTAGAGAGACCTCTCACATACTCTATAAGTAGAACTCTACCCCCTCATGAAAATAGAGCTAGAGCTTGAACCAAATGAAGAGTTGGACCTAGATTTAGTTTGCAAAGGAGCTAAATTTCAGTGTCGTTCTATAATGGAGAACCAACAAATCATTCTCGCTCCCGTAGTTTTCGACCACTATCAATCACCATCGGCCACCTCTTGCTCATTACAATGAAGCCCCTCATAGAGTCACAATTTATGCTGCAAAGTAATGAAGCACAGTGCATAGTAAAGAACAAAATTGTGGAGTTATGAATTATCGTACAGAGTAAAGATTGATTTCATGGAGTAATGAATTGCATCGCAAAGTAACGGGACACCTTGAGCAGTGCATCATCCTGAATATCATGCAATAATGCACCAAATATATGGTGCACTGAAGTCCCACTCTACAACTGCTCCTGACTATTAACGAACCCTTATTTCTACAACTAATATACTTTAAGAAACTGTGTAATATTTTTCCTACTGTGGGACAAGGGTTATGCATGTACTCATCAACTTATAGTGGATCCTCCTTACTAGGCTAGGCCTAATTATTTTTCCCTTTTATGTTTTTCTATGTAAAAACTCGGTGTATTTGCCTGTCACTTTAATTATTTGATTATGTGCTACTTTTGTGCAACACTAAGATGCTAGATAATCACTATATAACCATGAATCTTCTAGTATGCTTCAATTTGACACCATGTATAAGAAAGACCATCCCACCATTGAAGTTGCTAAATGGATCCACGGGACAGTAACAGAGCGAAGGATGGCAA